AGCGGAGTGTTGCAGCAGCTCGGGCGGTGTCATATTAGGGCGTTCACAATGGGATGAGGTGTCGTTTGGCCTCAAACGCGCACGTTGGATGCGGGAGAGAAATCAGCGCCACGTGACAGGAAGGGCCCACCAATTCCTAGCGCGCGTGACCAGAGTTAGCCATCCGTTCTTGGCTTGCGCCAAGGCTGCATGAGGCAGGGATAGCATTGTGAATTTAGGTCAGTTGCATTGTAAATCAAGTGGCTTCTGGTGTTCCTGAGTCCAGCCCCAAGCCCAAGCGCAGCATTTGCCATGGCGCACTGTGAGTGCCCTTAGCCGAGCGCAGCCGGTGAACTACTAGGCATCGCAGGCACTACCTACTGAACTTGCATGCATATATGTGTCTGCACTCTGCACTCTGCAGCCTGCAGACATATATTAAATCGGTTATTCGTTGGTGCAGTGTTACAAGTATTTCCTCTGTCCCAAAAAGACTCAATTCCTGGGTCTTCATGTCCAACGTTTGATTGTCCGTCTTATATAAATTTTTTTATGATTATTATTTTCATTATTGTTAGATGATAAAATATGAATAATATTTTATGTGTGACTTATCTTTTTATTTTTTTTCATATTTTTTTTAAATAAAATGGACGGTCAAACGTTAGACACGGAAACCTAGAATTGAATCTTTTTGGGACGAAGGGAGTACGTCGTAAGTGAGATGCAGAGGAGCACAGATGATTTACTAGTTCTTCCCTCGCGCCCCACTACTTGTCAATGATTATCATTAATTCATTGCTGCTCGAACAGCGGCAGAAGTGGAGTCGCCTGGGGCGGAGGTAGCGTCCAAGTGGACGAGGTGGATGAGTAGCCGATGGTGGCTGGCGAGCCCAGCATGGTGTATGGGAAGACGGATGAGGGAAGAGAGGGGGAGAAGAGAGAGCAGAGAAGAACGCGAGGAGAGAGAGAAGTAATCGACATGTGAAGTCGATCGTATATGTTTTTTGTTATATCTCACTGACACGTGACTTCTGTCTATATAAACCTCTTTCAGAACCACCAAAGGAGTCGATTCGCACCTGTTTTCGAAAATGGAGGAGGCGCTATACCCGGTTTTACGTTGAGGGATGTGATTCAATCTGAAGCAAGAGGTAACGCAGACAAAATAGACTTATTCCATTCCCGTCCAACCAAAATAGGCCCGCCCACGTGTAAGTGACAATCCCATCCTGGCCCAAAATAAATGGGCCATACGTTAACGTTGGAACACCTATCTGGCCCATGTAAGTTGCATGCACCATTCGTGTGTTCGTTCAAATTGACTGTTGATCTTCTCGTCGTACTGAACTACTATTTTTTTCTCAAAAGAAAATTAAATTGTAATCAATCGAGTAACTGTGTGCAATATTCAAGAATAGCAATGATGTGGATTAACTATTATTATTTAATTTTAGAAATAACTTTTCACTCATCACATGATTCTAGTTGGGGCCCTATTGGTGGTTGGTATGAAATCTCAAAGACATTGTGAGATATTGCGATAGCCATATGTTTATATCTCCATAGTTCACACACAAGGGTAAAAAACTAACATTGATGCCAATATGTCTCATTGGGACACCAAAAGCATTTCTTCATGAAGGAATGGTTATTTGTCCCTATATATACACTCATTGCATTAAGTAACCATATTTCTAGTTTTCATCATCCTATATTGATTCAAATAGCAAAAGTTTACCATGACATAATGGGGAGAACCAAAGTAATGCACGTCAAATAGGTCCCTATAACGTACTACTTTATTAGCTAGGTTAATAAATATAGCGTAATAACAAATTACTATTTGTCATTAGTGATTTGACCTTTATCATGATCATAGCACGTGTAGAAGCTGGTTTTGGTGCAGTCCCCTTTTGAATTGGAACATGAAAAGAGGATGTTTTGGTACAGCCACCTCTTGAATTAAAACATGAAAAGACATGGACATGAAAAGACATTGGAAGAGCTGAGCTACCATGTTGAACATAAACAAAGCTATATTATGAATAAGTCACATATGGTCTAAAGATTTAGAAGGCAAGTTCCCTATAATATTAATTATATACACGTTGTAATGAATCAAAAGATTATTTTCAATCACCGCATTAGTATATTACTATCTTATTATTAATGAATAAATATGATTCTATATTTGAGAAGCGATTGCTAACCAAATAATATGAATTTATTTATTTTTCAATCAGATATGCCTTAAGTTTAACAAAATTAACTATACGTGACTATGCTTTCAACAGCCAGAGGCCTTTAAGCTATTGGACTTCGTTGAATAATGCCAAATAATTGAGGTTTCTTTACGGCAACAGAAGGTAAACATATGCAACACCGCATGCCTTGCTTCTCTATTGGAATGTTTATAAACTTTTATCCACACTAAGATATTGTAGCATTTTTATGCTAATTAAAGTATTATAATCCAGTAACTACGCGTGATTAATTGGCTCTGTGATAATATGAGATTTTCTAAAAAAAAATAAGACTACGTAGATGGTTCGCCGGTTGGCATCTTCCGATGCATTATGCGTGCATAACCTAACTACTCACTCCCTCTCGCAAGACAAGCTCAGGTCCTCTCGTTTGATTAGCGCCATAGTTGGAAACACATGACAGTTGTAACCCGTTTTCTTCTTAAAATGAAACATCTTTTATATAAAACATCGGTATTGGTCTGTCAGTTCGGAAAAAAAAATCTAGCAAAACACAGTAGGGGGCGTCTACCTGGTCTAATAGGATAATCTTTTCTTTGTTTTGGTTGGATAAACACAAAAACTGGATGTAGTATCTCGTTAACAGGGTTTCTCGTGCAAAACGTCACACAAAGTTAAATTATTCTGCACGGCAAAATATATGATCGCACATAAAGCCAACTTCCACAAAATATTTAACGCAACGAGCCAAGCCGTGTGGAGCGGAGCTAGTAATGAGTCAAGCACGGCTTAGGCACAACACGGCTCGACTAGTGTCGGGCACGTGTTAGCCCGGTCTGACCGTTGGGCCATGCCTGCCTCTGCCTTGACACGATGGGCTGGCCTAGCACATCAGGAAAAATAGAGTACGGACACAAATTGGACTTATCAGCCATATAAGTACAGGCCAAAGAGTTAAGGGACACAGAATAGACTTATAACAGCCATATAGGATCCGCATAGGAGCACAGTAAACTTTCGTACCTTCGAGCTGACCCGGCATGGCACGAGCCTTATTGGGCCGGGCAAGCACGGCCCGACCTGAGGTGTAGTTCAGGCCGTGCTGACCCGACTACTCTCGGGCCCGGGCCGGACGGCCCATTTTACCATCTATATTCTGGTTTTGCCGTTGCACTCACCACATTGGTCCGCTGGACCGCGACGTGGCGCCACCTAACGCAGGCCAGCCTCCCAACTGCTGCTCTTCGTCTAGCTCGCGATAGAGCTAATTAACGAGTTAGCCCCTACTTGCTATATAAGTTTAGTATACCTCGAAATTGATCGATTCGATCGCCATGGCGCCTGAGGCTGCTGTTCCACCCGCCGGCGAGGACCTGACCATCCGCGTCGTGAGCCGCCGCCTCGTCAAGGCCTCCGACGCCACAATCCACCCGCACGTCGCCACCGTCTCCAACCTTGATCTCTACTTCAACAACTACCAGGCCTGTGCATGGTCTGCCTCTAATCCAACAACCTCCCGTGGCCGCCGTCGTCGCCGCCTTCGAGGCTGGCTTCCCGTCGTTGCTCAACCACTTCTACCCTCTCGCTGGCCGGATCGTCGTCGACCCTGTCTCCCGCCTCCCGGTCCCGGAGCTGCACTGCCACAACCAGGGCGCGGAGCTCGTCGTCGGCGAGGACGACGCCGCGCTGGGCAGCCTGGATTTCGCTGAGGAGGATCATGCTGCCGTACCCGAACGTCGTGATGCCTGTCTGTGCAGCTGCTGCGCTTCTCCTGCGGATTTAACATACAGCTAACATGTATACTCACTCCAGTTTTATTTTAATTGATATTTTAGACAATCACACGGTCTATAAGATTTATCTTTGATCTTATTTTTCTATTATAATATATACAATAAATAAATACATGTTTATTTTTATTATAGTATTTTGAAAGACAAATTTATATATGTTGTTTTAGTTTCTTTAAACTAAATATTTTTAAAGTCATAGATGATCAAAGTTATAAAAGTTTAACCTTAACCTTATTCAAAACGTAAATCAATATAGAACCGGAGTGAGTAATAAGTTAGGCATAAGGTTATCTTAATTTTTTTTCTCCCCTCTCCTTTTGTTTCAATATGCATTTAAAACATATTTTTTAAAAACATGTGTAAAGCTACCTCTCTACTTTTATTTATCTCTTTTCCATGCAATTATATATTGTGTTATCACGCGTTACTATTATCATTGCTCTAATGCGACTAGCTAGCATTGCCAGAATCGTTGGTTTCATACGCCAACAGCCGAAGGGAACAACAATTAATGAATGATGAGCTGTAAAAAGCGCATCCACACCACAAACAACATAATTAACGGCATATAATCCTTAACTTCTATTACTCCCACCAATTTTTAATACACAATACAGTTAACTTTTTCATGCGTTTAACCATTTATCTTATCTTAAAAGTTTAATATAAATATGTAAATTATAGGTTAAGATTATAGTTTCTTTATGAACAAAGACAAAGATATAACAAAATAAATGATAACTATATATATGTATTTAAATCTCTACTATTATAAAAATTGAATATGTTTTTATCGGTATTTTGGTACGTCGTCCGTGTACGAGTCGGTTTTTAAGTTTGTTTGCTTTTGAAACATATCCGTATTTGAGTTGGTTTTTAAGGTCATTCACTTTTGATAATACAGAAGGAATCAAATAAGAAATCTGTTTAAAAAAACCCGCATGCTAACTTGAGACGATCGAACTACTGACTGTAGCTCATGATTTTCTAAAAATAGATATATCCAAGCGAACTCCCATGATAAATTTAATATTAACTAGACCATATAACAATAATAATATTAAAATAGACTTCACTCGTTACAACACACATCATTTTTTCCAAGTAAGACAAAAGTTAAATATCATGTTCAAAGTCAACGATTAATTAAGAACGACACACGAGAGAGCGAATTAAGGCGTGCCTAGCAAGTGAATTAGACGAAGCCGAGGTACGCCGCCGTGAGAGGCTTGAAGATGCGGTGGTCGTCGGACTCCAGCGCCGCCGCCAGCCGCGGCCATATGTAGGCGCTCACCAGCCACGACCCGTCGCCTCCCGGCCGCGCTCCGACGGCCAGCGTCCCGGAGCTCACCCTCCCGTTCTCCCACACGGGCATGGCCAGCGTCGCCTCGCCGAACCCGAAGTCGGTGTCCAGCGGGAACGACGCGAACACCGTCTGGTTCACCGTCGGCGAGCCCAGCCCGAGCGCGCTCACCTCCATCATCTTCTCCGCCTTGTGCTCCTCCACCCAGTCCACGAGCTCCTGCACGTACGCGTCGTAGGCGATCGACGCGATGGCCTCCCGCGCCATGGCCGCCACCTCCGCCAGCGGCCTCTCCAGGATCTCCTCCACGGCCGCCTCGCCGAGGGCGTACGCCGTCATGTTGCCGAAGAAGCTGTGCATCGCCGGGACCAGCGCGGGCGACGCCACCCGCCGCCGCGCGTCCACCCACCACCCCATCCGGCACCGCTCCTCGGGCACGCGCGACGCCGCCACCACGCCGGCGAGCGCCTTCCACAGGAACGCCGACACCGCCTGCACCCGCGACGCGCGCCGCTGCCCGGTGCTCGCCATGTCGCGCAGCCGGGCGACGTCGCCGGCCTCGATGTAGTAGAGCCGCTCCACGAAGCTGTCCTGCGTTGTCAGGACGTTCACCAGCCGGCTCTCGTCGTGGTAGGCCGCGAACGTGGCGCGGACGGCGGCGCCGTACGACGGCGGGCTGCGGGGGCGGAACACCGACCGGTCGTGGTTGACGACAACCCCGTCGCCGATCCTCCCCGTCCGCGCCAGCTCCTACCACATCCTGACGACCATGGAGATGCCGTGGCCGTCGTTGGGGAGGTGGTTGTTGCCCCACACGACGGAGAAGCCGCCGCAGGCGAAGCGCAGCAGCTGCACGGACAGCATGACGTCGTCGGGGTACGGCAGCAAGATCCTCCTCAGCGACCCGTCCATCCCGGCGAAGTCCAGGCTGCCCAGCGCGGCGTCGACCTCGCCGACGACGAGCTCCGCGCCCTGGTTGTGGCAGTGCAGCTCGGGGAGGCGGGAGACAGGGTCGACGACGATCCGGCCGGCGAGGGGGTAGAAGTGGTTGAGCAGCGACGGGAGGCCGGCCTCGAAGGCGGCGACGACGGCGTCGAAGCTGCCGGCGACGCCGGCCACGGGGAGGTTGCTGGGGTAGAGGCAGACCATGGAGGCCTGGTAGTTGTTGAAGTAGAGGTCAAGGTTGGAGACGGTGGCGACGTGCGGCTGGATGGTGGCGTCGGAGGCCTTGACGAGGCGGCGGCTCACGACGCGGATGGTCAGGTCCTCGCCGGCGGGAACAGCAGCCTCAGGCGCCATGGCGATCGATAGATTTAGACGTAGCTTGTAGCCTTGTAGCACGCTAGCTAGTAATTACTCTGCTTGAGCTCTTGTCTCCCCTGAAGAACACGAACAACAAATGGAGGGCTATATTAGACTAGTTAGGGGGAAACTATTTTTGATCCTCAAGGAATTGTCCCCTCGTTTTATTTTTAAAAACTATCTGCACAGTTATGAAAAATCCTCGAAAAAATTGATAACACTCATATAACATACACACACCACTTCATAAAGTATTACTCTTAGATCAAAACTCAACTCACACATCGAGATATAAAAAATAGAGACAAATTCATCGTATGAATTAATTGCAACCTATTATTTACACCCAAATTTATAAATTTTCTTTTTGTTTCTCATCAATGTGTAGGTCAAACTTGAACATAATTTTTGGTAGACAGATAGGTGTCACTATAATCTATATTGTAAATTTATTAAAGATTTTCTCTCGGCTATTTGCATTAGATTTCAAAGAAAAAGATACACAAATTGATATTCCCTTAAGGGATTAGAATCCAGTCCCCTAGTTAAGTTGCAGCTGACAATGTCACTGTAGCCAGGCCTAGAGTCCATGAAAATGGTAGGGTTTTATATAGCTACAAGTAATTGATCTAACTGTACAAATATGGGTAAGATCCTCTGTGGATGCAGAGGCTGGATTTCAATTCATACCATTTTTAAGAAAATGATCAGCACATGTATTAATTGATGATCATGTCTCATGGATCATGGTATAGAGATACCAAATTAATAATGTGGACACATGTTGGTGAACATGTTGTTGGATAGACCCAACATGAGACACTGCAAGAGCAATATGTGTTGTATCATCAGTGATCTCATTTAGTGTTGGTGTTGAATCATTAGATCTAAAATTATCATGGTTCTCAACATGTGTAGTAGCTTACTTAGGGACTGCTAAACGCTACTCCGTAAATGGGTAGCTATAAAAGTAGTTTTCGAGTATGCTATGAAACATGTATAGGGATATGAATAATCAAGATGAGATTTGCCCCTCCTATAGAGAGATATCTCTGGGCCCCTCGATGTTGTAGATTATGGAAGTGCATGGCCATGCCAAAGGTGATTGAGGAGTCAATCACAAGTTATATAATCTATCAACAGGTTCGAGTGAATGATTGAGCTATTAGAGGATGGCACATATCTATCCTTGAGCTTAATCGATATCGTGAGGCAAAGGGGTTCATACAAGTATACACTAGAGGTTCAGACGATATGATCTTTATGTATGCCCGGTGGGTCAATACGTTCTGCTAGGGACCGCTGTTGATGCGTGGACCGAAAAGGAGTTTTCGGGTTACAGCCGAGTATATATGAACCTACAGGGTCGCACGCTTAATGGGCCGGAATAAGGGGATTGGATGGAGATCCAATATGAGTTTACTTCGGATAGGGATCCGAATAGGAGTCCTACGGGCCTTGGAGGCCCAAATGATGGATCCTATATATTCGTGAGGGGTGTGAATGTAGGTTCACATATTCTTTGCAAAATATTTGGGATATAGTTGCACCATGTCATCTCTAAAGATTTAGCCAAATTTCCAAACTATGTTATGTATACATCCTTGTTTAGAAATCAAACCAGCATAGACAAAACAACAAATTAATAAACGTAAATTAAACATCAATACTTACATAATAGACACTTAATCCTCACACCAAAAAGAAAGTAGCAGCAGAAAAGGGAACGATCCTAGCGGGGCTTCAACTCCACTCCATTGGCAAAACTCAACTGGGGTATATAAGCCTTGGCCCCCTAATTTGTCTTCAGCTCAGAAGCCCGCGGTTATGGGCGATCAACCAGCTTTTACCGTGATTAGTTCTATACTATTAATTAACTTGACTTGATGAACTGCTGTAGTTCCCTAATTTTGTCTTCAGTATAGAAGCCCGCGGTTATGGGCGATCAACCAGTTTTTACCGTGATTAGTCCTACACTATTAATTAACTTGACTTGATGAACTGCTATAGTTCAAGTGGTTTGGTTGGGCCTGTTCAACATGGTGTAGCGTTGTTCAGTGGCGATTAATATTTGCCTTAATTAATCAACTATTTTATTGTTTTCATCTATAAAGCTTTTCAGTTGCCTTTATCAACTAGCCATAAACCTTCATTTGTCTCCCTTGCACGTCTGTATCATTGGTGTGATTGCCTGAGTATACATTGGATGTACTCAGCCTTACTATTATTTCCTTTTTAAGAAGTGTAATGTTTCTAGGCTGAAGACGAAGTTAGAGGACCAAGGGTTATACCGAAATTGAGTTTTGCCCGTGAAGTGAAGCTGAAGCCCTGCTAAGATCATCCCCTTTCCGCTGTTGCTTTCTTTTCGGTGAGGACTAAATGTCTCTTCTGTAAGTATTTAGGCTTGGATTTGCGCATATTTCCGGACATAGATTTATATACAAAATAATCTATAAATTTGGCTAAATTTCTAGGTGTGACAACCCCTGTTCCATTTTTGGTCTCCCACAGCAAACATAATTGTTGGTCCGCTTCCCGCCACGCGTACCGTGAACGCTGCCCTATTCCTGCGCGACATGAAAGACCAGGACCAGAAAAAACCCATCCAACTTGTGAAGAGCAAGAAATATGGGATCATGGATTTTTTTTGGACATCTTTATAAGTGAACCGTTCTAGTCGATTTTTTTTAAAAAAAAGGTAGAAATCCTAAATTTGATGATTGAATTCGAAGGGAATTCTGTTAGGCATATACTCTCTCCATCCTATAATATAAGAGATTTTAGTTCGACGTGTGACACATTCTAGTAACAATGAATATGAATAGATGGTATGTCCAGATTAATAGTACTAGGATGTCCTTTATATTAGAGCAATTCTACAGTTCTTGAGGATACACTAATAGTATAAAAAAATTCAGCGTAAAATTTAATACCTCATAGTATGTAGATACTAAGAGGTATTAAATTTATAATAGAAAAAATGTATCTCATGTACCTCTTGAGGAAATGTAAAATTGCTCTTTATATTATAGGACAGATGTACTGTATGCTCTAAACTGAAATAGCCTTGACAACAAATTAACACAGCAGATGAGCCACATCCACGCGACAGCGAACCCAGCGATCGATGGCCTTCGCGTGGTCTTCTTCGGCATCATCGATCGACTCCGGAGACGCGCACGGCCACACGCCACGCCGCCCATCCATCCAACAATTGCCACGCCCTCTCGCATCCCCTCCATTTCTTTTTTGCACCCATCACGATAAGAGCCTCCGGTGAATCCCAGCCATCCGTTTCTAACTCCATAGATTCTGAGGAATGAAGCACCTCGCAAGTCGCAATGGAATCGTGGGTGCATAAATTCATTGACCAAGAGGATTCAAATCATGAATGAATGTAATTGTACTTTTAATATATTTTTAGTGAGATCAGGAATATACCGACGTATGTTAAGGAGATATTTAACTATGTGTTACTCTTATAAGTGGCAATTAAAGATTTACCGCTGGACTCACGTGTCATATATACGTAGGACCCACGTATCATATATTATACTCCATCCGTTTCTAAATATTTTACGCCGTTGATTTTTTTAAATATGTTTGACTGTTCGTCTTATTTAAAAAATTTAAGTAATTATTAATTATTTTTCTATCATTTGATTCATTGTTAAATATACTTATATGTATACATGTAGATTTACATTTTTCAAAAAAAAAATTTAAATAAAACGAACGGTTAAACATTTACTAAAAGATAACTATGTCGAATATTTAGAAACGTAGGGAGTAATTGTGAGTGATAAATTTTTAATTGTCACATCTTGAAAGTGGCCATACGAGCAGGTACAATAGCAGGCTATAAGCCAGCTATAAACATATTTTAAAGAGATATAGGAAGAGAAAGAAGAGCAGCGGACTACAAATATATAGCCAGCTGCAGTACGGACTTCAAGACGTAATGTGTGTATGATAGGTAGGACCAGATATTAATAGTATAGTAAGCAACTATTGTATAAATTAACTATTACTACCTCAATTCTATAATATAAGGCACAACTACTTTTTTCAGATGTTCCATAATATATGGCATGCATGCATGCATACAATTAATTAGTACCTCTTCTTCATTAAATTATGATTTTTTAAAATCATCCAACCTCAAGATGTCTAATTCTATTGGGTGCATACATTTTATTTATTAGGGTGATATAAATTAGGAGATGATAATAATTATTTCTTGGTCTTTGGGTTAAGAGTGGTTGTGCCTTATATTTTGGAACGGAGGGAGTACATTGGTTATAGATAAATTGGAGCTAGTAGTTGGCTATTAATTGGTTTTAAGTATTTACGTGAGTGTGAGTGTAGTGGTGGTGTATTTGCGGTAAAAACCTCCATCGGTCAAACCTTCCCAGGGCCCACACGTCGGTGACTGTGAGCATTACTATTTTACCGCGAGTTTGTGGCTGTGGACGCGGATAGAAGCAGTGGAGGAGGTCACGATTCTCTAGGCATCATGGGTAGGAAGAAGAAGCGCCCCGCCGCCGCCGCCGTGGCCGCCGTCGACGAGGAGCCCACGGCGGGTTCTACTTCTTCCGCCGCCGCCGCGGAGGCTGATGGTGGGGATGCCACGGTGATTAATCGTTCGGTGGAGGGAGACGACGGCGGAGAGGAAGCGGTCGCGGTGGAGGAGGAGAGGCGGGAGTCGTCGTCGCCGGAGATGGACGAGGCGGCGGCGGAGAAGGTGAAGGAGATGAATAGGCTTCTCGTCAGGGAGTCCGTCGAGGAGCGGGCGCGCGTTGCCGCGCTCGCCGCGGGCATCGGCGAGCTGGAGGCGGACGCCGGCGCGGTCGCCGACGAGGAACGCGCGGTGCTCCGGGTGGCCCTTGCGGTGAAGCTCGCCGCCGCCTCCGATGAGGCCGCGGCGACGCGCGCGCGCCTCGACGCCGCGCGAGAGTCGCTCGAGGCCGCGGAGGCTGCGGCGGCGCGCGAGGCGGCGGGCCGGGGCGAGGCCGCGGCGCGGCTGGAGGCGGCGGCGGCGGAGAACGGCCGCGCCATGGAGCTCCTCGCGACGAAGGAGGCCGAGCTGGCCGCCATCTCCGCCAATCTCGCTGAATCGGACGCCATGGTGGCCCAACTGGAGGAGCAGAACTCGCAGCTCCGTGCAGAGAGGGGCGAATTGGAGAAGCGACTGGAGGAGACGAAGGCGTCGTCTCGCCGCGTTCACACTCAGAAGACGGAGGTGGAAGAAAGCTTCGAGGAGTTCAAGAAGAACACCGAGAAGCACAAGCAGCAGATGGAGGAGAAGCTTGGGGAAAAAATGGCGGAACTGAAGCTTTTGACCTCCATTAAGACAGAAATGGCGGCGAAGATTGAGTCCTTTGAAGCCGAGCTCTCCATGGCCATGGCTAGGAGTTCGGAATTGGAGTCAGAGATCGATTCGAGCAAGTCAGAGCTAGCTGCAGCGAAGACAGAGGCAGAGAAGCTTCGATCTGAGGTTGCCGAGATCGACGAGAAGCATCGCATGGCGGAAGCCAAGGTGAATGAGCTCCAGATCGAGATTGAAGAGACGATGAAGACGAAGGATGCAGAAGCATCAGCATTCAGAGCTGACAAGATAACAATGGAGAAAACATTGGAGACACTGAGCTTGGAGATGAAGAAGATTCATGCAGAGAAGGATGCTGCTGCAGCCATGGTTCTTCAGAAATCCGACGAATCTGAAAATCTCAGGGCTGAACTGAAGAATCTCCACAAATCGATCTCCGAGCTCCGCATCCGCTGCAACGATCTCACTGATCACTCCTCTCGCCTCCAAGCTGACAAGAATTCAGTCATGAGAGCTCTGAGCAACGAGAAATCCGAATCCACCAAGCTGAGACTGAAACTCAGGGAGCTCGAGAGCTATGTCAGCAACAAGGACAATGAGATTGGGATTCTGAATTCTGAAGCTGAGGACAGAGAAGGGATGGTGGATGGCATGAGCAGGCAGTTTGAGCAGCTGCGGATCGCGGCCGCCGAGGCGCATCGGAGGGGGAAGAACGGGGTTTGGACATGGATGTGTCATCCAGCTACCACCACCGTGCTCGCTGCTGCTTCCGTCGTCTACGCTGCTAGTAGACGGTGAACAGTTTGCTCTGATACTGGGGTTTTAATTACTTCTCTTGCTTCAGTATATACAAACTTGAAATAATAACCAGAGGCTTCGACCTTTTGTTACTTGTTACTATATGATTAACAGTTTGGTGCTATGACATGAAACTGAATTTCTACAGTGCTTATTTGAGCTGTATGTGGTACTTGAGATTGAGTTGTTCATTGCCCAAATTATTCGTATTGGGTTTTGTCAGAATTTTTGGCACAGTGGTAGTAGCAGTTCAAACTACAAACTGTTGGATGGCAAATTTATGTTTGCTAATTATCATCCTGAAAACAGTGCATAGGCTGGCCTGAAGTTACATCCTGTAGCATGAATCTCTGTAAAGAGTGCCCCAGTGCTGATGACTGGTGCAATATGTGCCAATTGGCACAATTTTTGCTCCTACCAAAGATTATATGCTCATATATCGCATCTGCCATAACTGGGATCCCCAAATTTCTCACAGTTTCAGAAATCTACTTATCCAGTTTTGTAGTTGGCAATTTAGCACTCTTCATCCATGGACATGAAGACAAACACCCTGCTTGACCATGAATATATCATGGTTTCAGTTTCTTCAGATTATGAAACAATGCTTTCCAAGCAGCAAAGTACGTTATACAAGTACTAGCTTTCCTTTTGTGCAGATTCAGATTGATTCATCTGTTAATCATACTACACCATTTAAGCTGTAGCAATTATGTATGCTGTTGAAACAATCTACGAGAAGCTCCAGTTACCTTTGAGCAGGGTTTATCCGTTTATGTCGAGGTCCTTCAGACAATGCATGCGATGACGTCAGGTGCTCTTCCTTGGTGAACAGAGCTAATCGCCAGCTTGTTCACTGCCTGAGGTTCTCACCTGCTTCTCTGAAAATAGAGTTTCAGTCAGTCACCCTCTTGCAGCAGTAAAATGTTTTGTTTTTTCATACAATCTGTTCACCACAGACAATGTATGGACCTCTGCAATCTTAATCTAGAGCTCATTGGGAAATACAAGAGCAACCTAAATTCCACTGATTTGGAAATAGAGCATGTACAAGATGCATATGGGCTGCCATACATGTGTCAGTTGGGCTACTTTGCTCTTGACTTATATTTTACGAATCTCATATAAATGTTAGCACTTGTATGTCAACAACTATGATATGTAACAAGTGAACTCAGATCGACATACTATTATACTTGTAAGAACATATTACTACTATATATCAGGAGATCATTAGCTCATAAATTGCAAGCTCTGTTGTTCTTCTTTTCTTCAGTTGTGCTCCAAGTTGTAAACCAGTTCTTGCAATATACATACGTTTTGTGCTTCATTTTTGTGATGATGCTGTTATTCGATTTAGTGCAGATCCTCTGGGCCTTCTCGAAACAAAAACCATTGCATGATTTACATAGCCGATTCATATTCAGCAAGTACATTTGCAACATTAATACAGATTTCGTTCAAAAGAACATTAATACCTACTGATTAATAATTTCTGAATCATTATCGAAAAAATAATGTCTGAATAAAATAGGTGGTCCATTGGCAGCAATACGCTGACAATCACATCGTGGTCCATAGTCCGTATACGATACAGTGCACATTACGTATCAGAACATAAACGTCGATCTTCTTTAGAAGGCAACGCACCAGCTGCTCTGTTGTTGGCTACTCGATCTGAAGCATTTCGACTTTTCGAGTGCTCATTTATGTTCTGAATTGCTTACTGAAGATGAAAAATTAAATTAGGCTTGCATTTCACTTCTGAATTTTTGACTGAAGATAACAGATGCTAGGGTAACTGCTGATCTAGCTCCTGTCCTCGACAAAAAGTAGTGATGAGAACTCTGGCCTATAAATGCTAGTATTTGGAGGAGAACCAAAGTACAGAATAAATACTTCAGAGATCAGATCATTGGATGGTGATTAATTTATTCTGTAAATAGTATTTTAGTTTCCATTAAGATATTTAGCTGTAGGTACATCTGTGGATCTGGATCAGATGATCAGGTGTTCATTGATTAACAGCAATTAGCTATGCATGCGACCGACACACCCACAGACTGGGATTATTACACAGCAGAAAACATCCATCTGCTATGAATATGACGCACCAACCATTATTTTGTTCCGTTGTTTATACTCCACCCCCATTTCAAAAGAATGTATGATTGTGATCAAGATTAGTTATCTCCACTCGCTCCAACCAATTAAATGATCTAAAACAGAGATAGAGTGGTTTTACAATAAGTTTCCGTTAGAATATTGAGAGGATGTCCTTCTCTGAAAAAGAATGAAAATTGATTACATCTTGGGCCTCTACAGTTAGGCGAGACAAAGATATCCCTCTTAAGGCTGAAAAGTATTTCCCAATGGAATTGATGTGATCTGCATCCATGGCCACCATTGCTGTCACTCAGACAGGTACAGCGAAGATCACAATCATACACCTCAACGGCCACAACCTGTCACCATACACACAAGAAAGAAAAAAGTCTAATCAGGACCAAAAATTATGTCCTACAGTTGTACAGATGCAATCGCAGCAGCTACTACAGTGTCCGTTGCTATATAATCAGCAGCATCAATGCAGTCCTCTCCTCACCATCAATCCATTCCTCCATCTAATCCCGATTGAAATGGCGCCCAAGGTGTTCGTCCCGCTCTGCGTCGTCGTCCTCGCCGCGGCGCTCGCCGCGGGGCCGCCGGTGGCGGACGCGGCGTCGGCGCACCTCCACTTCTACATGCACGACGTGCTGGGCGCGTCGGCGGTGCAGGTGGTGCGGGGCCCGCGCGGCATGTTCGGGAACACGGTGGTGATGGACGACGTGCTGACGGAGGGACCCGCGGCGACGTCGTCGGTGCTGGGGCGCGCCCAGGGGCAGTACATCGTGGCGTCGACGGGGAGCATGGACCTGATGGTCACCATGAACGTCGTTCTCAGCTCCGGCCCGTTCGCCGGCAGCTCGGTGACCGTCGTCGGGCGCGACGACACCGGCGCGGCGGTGCGGGAGCTGACGGTGGTGGGGGGCACGGGGCAGTTCAGGATGGCGAGAGGGTACGTGCTGTGGAGGACCATCCGCCCTGACCTGCTCGAGCTCGACGTCTACGTTAACCCGTAGAAAAGATAAGAGAGACGATGACGATGAGGATGATGATCTGTCGAAAACGGACACGTCATTCGCCCAGTCAGCATCTGTGTTCGTGTGTATGTGTGTGACGTGGCGTGTTCTTGCACAGGTGTCGTACCGGTAAAGGCTTATCCTTGTGGTGTGTGTGTGTCCGGTGAAAAAATAAGCTTGACATGGGCGAACCTGATGGGTATAATAATAATTCTTATATACTATATATTTAATTTACTGAACATTATTATCATACGGAACATTGAAATGTAGTATTTTTGTTTGTGTTTCCTTTTAAACTTATTACTTGAAGCTCGAGGAATATGAAATTGAAAATTTGACCTCTAAACTTGGAATGACTAAAAATTGAAGGTCCATGAACGACACTATGAAATTAAAAAAAAACTCTCAAATTCGCAGTACGAGCAAAAACTCATGAAACTCAAATACACATTAATCATGATTTTTTTTCTTTTTATAAAGTGTTTCTCCTTGCATGACTAAAATACCAAAGTTTCTCAGCTGGCAGGCCAGAATCTAGAATTAAAATTATCGGGTGTCCTGTGTATGGCTGTATGTACCAATCATATATATAATAATACTCTCTTCCCAAGCTAACATGAGCTAACACAAATGGTATTTCTAAGTTCACCCTGTGTCCTATGCATGACATGTTGACTGGTGGGAAAAATGCTAATGTATTAACGTACAATTCTTTCGTGCGTTCGTGAGAAGACTGGTGGGAAAAATGCTATCCCATTGCATTTTCAAGCAAACAAGAAACTTTAGCCAAAGTGCGCTGACAAAAACTGCATGCAAATTAACAAGAAACATTAAGCTTGACGCCGACCGTTCATTCATAGACAAAATTAACATAGATTATAATGGCAAGTTAACTTCTATAGTACTGTCAATACACAAACATTTAACCAAGATTTTAGTAAAAAAAATTGGTGGTAGATCACACATGTTAGTATTTTACATCTGAAAAACTCTGATTCATATATCATCTGATCCTACCTATCCCGTTATGGGCCAAAAGCCCATAAATGTTGAGGTTAAATAAAAGCCCAACTTTTTCTTGAAATTAACAAGTTACGGAAGTCCACTGATAAAAAACGTAATCAAAATTTCTGTAAAATAATATGTTACACTAATATCCCGTTTTGACAAGTAGTGGAATAACCTATATTGTCGGAGATCAGATGAAAAACTGTAGGAACTATAAAATGGCCAACGACTTTTTTATATGGTCGGTGATTAGCAACACTGTCGGTAACTTGATAATCACCAACGGTGTTTTTGAAATCTTAGACTATTAGGCTATTATTTATCACTGTCGGTAAAAGTTGTATATCTTGTAGTCATGCGGACCTACCCCCATGATTCAGGCTTTACGAGTACTTTAAATCCTATATCCCATACATGAGAACCCGCCCAACATAGATAGTATCTTGACACACGGATATGTACCCACGGTTTAGGTTTTAACATGCGTGCTTTGAGATCCTGTCTTGTTTAAAGGGCTCACCTCCTAGCATACGTCATTTTATTAATATGTGTTTCAACCAAGGGGTCGAGTAACCTTTTCAAAACAAACTTTGAAAATTCGCTTCTCAAGAAGAGTCGAACTAAGGATCTGGTACGTGTTATGAGAGCACTGTAAGCCTGCAGCCACTAGGCTAAAAATCCGTTCGCACACCTTATTCCAATTACAAGTTTTCACTCTGCAACGAACAAAATATCTTAACCCAATTCTTCAAGCCAATTACAGAGTCTGGGATATAAGCAGGGACTGAAAATTCGAATTGCGATTTTAGACTAATGCCATAGCTTTATTCAATCATAGGCAATCATTTTATTATGAAAATATATATCAGCTATATACAGTACAGGCAAGCATCTGCGCTAATTATTCTACATACAATTCTCAGATCGCGTGTGTCAAAAAGATAAAAGAAGATCCTATAAAATTGACATAAAAGGCTCTATACATATTATTATGAGCCGGCCAGAAAAGAAAAATCTTATTTGTTGGCTTCAGAACTTCTTTTTCAGTAGCTTTACTTGAACTGCTCTTTTTTGGCAGAATGCTTCAATCCTATCACAGGCTTCAAGTATCACACTAGTAGGTGCCCCAAAGAATATCCTAATCCAGTTCTTTAACCCAATTACAGAACCTGTGCAAGGAAATAGCAGAGATCGAAATTGTGAATTCAGATAAATCAAGAGGCCAAAACTAATCTTGTACTTGATTGAGGCCCAAACCACAATATTGTAATTGATTGAGATAAATAAAGCTTCCATTATTATCTAAAAAAACAACAATATGATTTCAACCAATTTACAGAATTTTCATTTTCGGTAGTCAGTACACTAAAAAACCAGTAACTTATCGTAGAAATTAATAGTGAGATCATAAATCCATGGAAGTAGTCAAAATTATACCAGGTAAAACTAGGACAGATTCTTCTTTAATCAATTCACGAGCGAAGTCCATGTCATCTTCAACACCGAACAGAAGTGAAGTGTTGACTTCAACCTGAATGATTTTGAGAGCATCGATTCAATGATAAAGCAATAAATCATTAGGAATTACTCAAATCAGTTTATCTTCAGACCAACCATCATGAACATGGAGCCATGAGGTTTTGAGTAGCACTGCAGAGCTTCAATCTGGTTCACTCTTCTGTAGAGAGCATCAGCTGCAGACTCAAGCAAGTTCACAACGTTTCGATGGAATTCATTGTGTTCGTTTGAGAGAATCTTAGGAACTGCAGCCTGCATGTGTGACAAAAAATATTTCACCATGTTTAGTACCCACACTATGCATTCATTGTAGTTGGTAAAGAAATTACAATTTGTTTCTGACCTGAACTATGGAGGCAGGGCCTGAAGTCACATTCAGTAGCATTTCTGTTGCATTTCTGACCTTTTGAAGAACAGAATTATGAATATGTAAATGTGAATTTTTCATACAAACAAGAATTTAAAAACATGAAAAGAGTTTACTGCCTTACATGCTTGAGTGCACCATTGGGGTCACAGAAGGCCAACCAACCAAGTCGCCATCCTGGCAGCATGAATTTCTTTGATAGTGCTCCAATGGTGATTACTGGTGTGATATGTGCAAAGGTAGCCATTGGCACAAACTTGCTCCCACCAAACACCATATGTGCATACACCTCATCTGCTATGATTGGGATCCCCAATTCTCTCGCTGTTTCAGCAATCTACAAAATCCAGCGAGATATAGTTGGTACTAATAAGAGATGGCAGTTCTGCATACTTTGTTCATGGGCATGTTTTAGTGCGTAGGGATTTAGTGTAATTTTTGGTACTGTACTTACACTGAAAATTTTGGTATCTCTACTGTAAAATTTTTTATTCAGCTATCATAATTGTACATTTGCGTATGTATCTTTCAGATGCATATACCCTCTATCTCCCTCTATATAGGAGCAGCAACTTTCAGTTTTATTTTTCCGTCTTTTCGCCCTAGCAGTCCTTTACCTTGTAACCTGGCAATGGCCAGTCTGGTCTGTTGTGTTGTGTAACTAAAACAATACTTTCTTCTAATATACTAACATGCAATTTTTTTTACGTGTTCGCGAAAAAAATATCTTTCAGACACATAAACGTGAAATGGTTTCAAATTATCAATGTAAAACTTGTAAAACCAGTTGGATATATTTTTTTAGATGCTTCTTTATTCTGAAGACATATAATACTCCATCCGTTTCACAATGTAGAACTTTCTAGTATTACCTACATTTATATATATGTTAAGTGTGCAGTTAAATGATCACTTACCTGAAAAAGGTGCTGTGCAGAGTACACCGCGCCGCAGGGATTGTTGGGGTTGATGACGACGATGGCCGCCGTCGCGCCGTCGGCCATGGCGCGAACGCCGGCGAGGTCGGCCTCCCAGCCCCGCCGCGGCAGGAGGTCGTAGAACCGCGGCTCGGCGCCGGCGAGCTCACAGGCCGCCTCGTACGGCGCGAAGCCCGGCCGCGGCAGCAGGACGTTCGCCCCCGGCGCGCCGCCGAGCACCGTCGCGATCGCGGTGATCGCGCCCGTGCCGCCGGCCGTCATGAACACGTCGGCGTCGCGGGTGCGGTGGCGCGCGCCGGCGGACAGGTGGTCGGCGACGGCGCTGGTTTCCGGCGCACGAGAATTGCAGATATGGATATTAATTAGTTTCACTGATTCAGTAGAATTAACGAGGCATTCACTTCACTAATTAGGATAGCATCTACTCCACTCATACAATTACAAAGAGAAGAGCATATTAAGTTGTACAAATGGAAGGATTGAGATCCTCTGTCTTTAATTCTGATGACTTTATAGCCACTAACATGTGGACCCACATGCCAGTAACTCAAAGTCATGTGACTTTAGTTAGAGGATCTCAATTCCAAATACAATGGATTCTTGCTCTAGTTATATGAAAGACATGAGGTGCAAAACCAAATATATGGTGTGTTCGGATGCCCCTTTTCCTAACCCCTCATTCGCTTTCCGCGCACACACTTTTCAAACTGCTAAACGGTGCGGTTTTTTTTTAAAAAAATTCTATATGAAAGTTGCTTAAAAAATCAAATTAATACATTTTTTTTAAAAAATTAGCTAATACTTAGTTAATTACACGCTAATGGATCGTTCCGTTTTCCGTGTGGTTGGGTACGCGCTAATGGAAAAAGATTGCTCAGAAAAAAAGCGTTCGGAATTATTATACATACGTACCAAACAAAAGCGTTCATACGCAGTTGGCAGTAGTCACCCGTGAACAAACAGTATGGGACTATAACTAACATGGAAATAAACTAAGTTAAAAAAATGGAAATTAAAAATCCTAACACTACCAAATAATGTGGACAACACGGAGAAAATATGTTCTGGATATAGGTGGACACTAAATTCTGTACTTTTATTTTTAAATTAAAGTATGTACTTTTTCTTAGTTCCCGTGAGATTAATTAAGCTATGGAATTTATGTTCTATAAGGACCCACTTCCACGTGGCTGAACCCAAGCATGCTATACGTCAGCAATATAACACCTATATCTTCTAGTACTCCCTTCGTACTCAAATGATTGCCATCATGGCACTATTCGTCTTTAAAATTTTAATAACTTATGTTTTAAAATGAAGTTGTAAGGACTTAAAAAATTGATAAATCCTGTTGCATAACAAGTGTAACGACAAAACTTTCATTCACTATAGTTTAACAAATGTAAAAGTTATTGGGTAAAATGGTAATGGACATTTTAAAACAATGTGTGGTCTCAGCAAGTTCGATCGTGGTCGTGCAGCCCATATAGGCTGTGTTACTTAGAGCTCCCATGTGTGCACCCCGATCCAATTCAGTATTGCTCATACAATGGAAGTGGCTCACACGTGAATCAGATCTCACATGTTAGCGACACCTAATGTAGATACAATCCCCGTTAACCATGCTTGCCTGCCGACGAGTCTAGGGTTATCAAATGCTATAGCTCCATCCCTAATATTCATATCCGATCCTACGAATTGTGATGACAATATAATATAATGCACTACTGTACTGCAACAACAATGATGCAATGTCCAAGATGGGGCCAAGATTTATATCATGGCCCAATGTCCTTGTCATGTTGGTGTGCTTGTACTGTCATTAACAGTATAGGCATGCACCATATGCGATTGCAAGTACCACAGTGCCAAGATAACTGCTCCCATATAGGAGTATATGTGTTCTATCAATGACCATACAATTTTCTCTAGCACAAAGGAAGGGACAAAAGCACCGTGGACCATCATTGTCGTTCTCAAGCACAGCATACACAAGTACAAAACGAAGTTTCTGATCGAAGACTTGAGATCCAAATGTACCGTAGAGTGTCTGTTTTGGGGCTTTTATTTACTTTCTGGTTTAGGCTAAGAGGAACATAGGTGTGTATTAATCATACATAATTAACTCTCATCTACCATGATATATTGGTTCCATTAATTGTTACGATTATGCTTATGCTTATAAGAAAAAATACATTTTAAATTATATTATTGAAGTTGATTTTCTTGTTTGTTTTTTTCATTGTAGTTTATTTAAGTACTTTGAGTTAGTTTCTTAAGGACCGTTTTTTAAAAGTATTGTAAAATTTCTCTTATTTTATACTCCCTCCGTATTTTATGTATGATGCCGTTGACTTTTCGACCAACGTTTGACCATTTGTTTTATTTAAAATTTTTGTGCAAATATGAAAATATTTATATCATACTTAAAGAACATTTGATGATGAATCTAGTCACAATAAAATAAATGAAAATTACATAAATTTTTTGAATAAGACAAATGGTCAAACGTTAGATAAAAAATCAACGGCGTCATAGATTAAAATATGGAGGTAGTACTATGCGATTGCAAGTACAACAGGGCCAGATAACTGATCCCATGTGTTCTAGCAATAACCAAATCACTATCTTTCCATAAAGGAATGGACAAATGGAAGGACACAAGTACGCAACACAGTATTTAAGTATTTCAGATCCAAATGTACTGTAGAGTGTCTGTTTTCAGTTTCTTTTTTACTACCCAATTTAGGCTAAGAGGAACATAGGTGTATACATAATCATGTACAACTCTCATCTACATGAATTTATTACTCTACTAAATATGCTAAGGTATTGTTACCTTTCTCAAGAAACAATGAAACATTACTCCATCTATCCCAAAATATAGCAATGTAATATTGATTGGATCCTATTTTGGGACGGAGGGGTATATATCTTTGACTTTTCAAATTCAAAAAAAAAAACATACCAGTTTGATCATTCAATTTTCTTTCTTCATATATCTAACATCTATACTATACTAGTATGAAACTATGAATGAATTTTTTTTTTGCGGGGAAACTATGAATGAATTTAATCATACCGTTCTTAGCTTATACATATTTAATCATCATCTTAATTCGGACAATTTATCTCTTGTCAGCATCAACACATTTGATTGCATACATCTAAGACGTCCGCTTTTTGTGATCGTGCTTGTAGTGCTAATTAATACTCAGAACACTATATATCCAATGTCAAGAAATCAGTAATTGTAATATGCTAATTTGCATCGAGATTAACATACGAATACTTGCAAATTAAATTCACTCACAAAACAACAGGAAATTAAAAGAATTAATTAACTTGAACATGAACAAGAAGAAGCAGAGACATGGATACTCACCGGCGAGCGGCCGGGAAGCCGCACGACGGCGCGTAGCAGTCGAACACCCCGGACCTGGCCGCGTCGGCGACGGCGTCGGCCGCGAACTCGCCGCCGCGCCTGAAGCAGGCGTGCGAGGACGCGTCGCCGACGCCGAGCGAGATGAGGCTCCTCCTCCTCTCCTCGCCGGCGCCGGCCGCCGCCGCCGCAGCACCGAGCAGCTCCCCGACGACGCCCCTGATCGACGCCTTCTTCTCCGTCGACAGCGCCGGGTGGCACCTCACCGCCGCACCCCTAAACCCGCCTCCGCCGCCGCCGTTGCATTTCTCCTGCTCCTGCACCGGCGCCGCCGCAACCTAATTAAGTATCAAGAAACCAAAGAATTAGCTAGTCACCATGAATGCATATGCACATTCAGTTTAACTGTAAAATTCCCAAGAAACGGCAGGTTAATTGTAAGCTAGGTTGGTAGCCAACATGCCTCTGCAGTTGGAGCCATGAGAGAGGGTAAGCTAAGCTAAGCTCTAGAGAGAGAGATTGACAAGAGTTGTAGAGAGAGAAAAGAGTAGTACAGAGATGAGATTTTGATGCAGGTCACGAGCGTGAATGTGTGTGTGGGGTGTGCATTTGTACAGGTTCTGTGGCTGAGAAAGTCACAAGTGATCGCCGCGATTTACAGACGTCTTGGCCGTTGTCAGCTAGCTAGCTTCGCCGATCTGTTTCTCGCGGCAATTGAAAGAGAGAGACGGAGAGGAACTCTTTTTTTTATTATTATTATTTTAGACATTTTATTTTTAAAAATTTATTAATAGACATTTCCAGAAAATATTTTCAAAAACCGAACCTTTTAGCCACGCTAGCTGAGCGGCCAGCATGGTAGCGTTGTTTGACCACGCCAGCCACAGTGACGTGACAAGACGCGTGGCATAACAAGCCAGCATTGCCACGCCAGCGGCGCGTGGCGTGACAGACTTATTTAAGACACGCCAGATGTTTATATTTGGAAATGCTTTTTAAAAATGTCTATTAATAAAATTTTAAAAAATAAAAAAGCCTAAAAAATAAAAAAATCGAGAGAGAGAGAGAGCCGTGCAGTTTGAGAGGCTCACGTTAGGCTACGTGATGGGAAAGAGCCAAAAGCCAACAGGGGCACGCATGTCGTGTCAGGAGATAGAGCTCACAGCTCAGGATCGCCGCGAGATAATACACTCATTTTTTTTTTCTTTTTTTTTTTTGGCTTCGTTGCTGATGTATTTCTTTTGTTTTTGGGCGTGTTCGCCTGGTCTATACTAGTAGCTGCCGCAGTGGCTGCGGTTGCGACAGTCCAAACCGGCTGCAGTTTGCAGCCACGGCTGCGGCAGCCAGCACGTTCGAACAAAGTCCTTTATTTTTTGGGGAGAATAATTTTTTGTCGGGCGATTTAACTTTTAATACGTACTTTTGATCGTTAATTATTTTTTTCAAAATATATCGTCGGCAGCTATGAAATTATCATCATGCGAAAATACTTTCAAAATATACGGATACCATATGCCTAACACTGAAAATATATATTACAATTTGTTTCAAGTATTAGTCAAAATTTTCATTCGTGGACTTTGCGGGAAACATGGATGCCTCGTCTTTAAATTGGAGGAGTACCTTTTTTTATGACACTTTTGGAATCCATTGCTGACAAATATTTATAAATGAATGATATTATGACATCGATATCGAGAACTGTCATGTTTTATAGTGTAAATTTTGATACCTTTTAAAATCTAATGTATCGTGAGGTACCAAATTTACGAATGGTAATATAGTCCATAAATTATTTTCGCAATGTGCGATTGATTGTGGACTTGGAATTTTGTGAGGTGACAGATGTTGCAAGTGTCAAATTTTTTTCTTGAAAGGATCTAAATATTTGATTGCCATTAAGCGCATACACGTGCCCAAAGTGTGCAAAAACCAAATCCACCTCCTCTGTTTTCTAAACAAACAAACAATTCAGTGGAAACAGAGTTCGCATGGTGTAATCCCATCTTCCCAATTAACAGACGTAACAGACAATGTTTACCAGATAGCGTGCCTTGTTTGATTTTTCGTTCTTTACTACGGTAATACACAGCAAGGATTGAAATTGACGTGCGTATTCGTCTTGAGCAATAGATTTAACGAGTTAACCAACAAAAATGGAGATGTTAGTTGCGAACAGGCCACGAAACACATAATCCTGACAAGCTTCCAACAATTGCAGTTAGGCAGGTTTGATGGCGTAATTGCCACCATGTTATGGCTGCATGCATATGATGCCTCATGCTTCCATGCATGCAGAAAAATACTAAGGTAGAATTATGACGTTGAATTAATCTTAAATTCAGTCCTACGAGACACTGGTGATTGGTTCGATATGGAAATTAAATTTGGGATAAACAATATAGTAGAAAGTAGTAATGTTACCATGGGGAGCCATCCCTATTAATTGGGTCTTAACCCATGCTTCAAGGATGGGTTCATGTAAGAAGGCCCATCCTTAATAGGGTGATTCTTAACTCATGTTTTTAGGACCTATAAGAACAGACATGAACCACGGAGGTAGCTTCCCACTAGAAGGCTTCGACCACCATGCTAGATACATGTATATTTTTTTCTCCTTTACTGCCGCTTCTGAATTCAATTTGTTTTTGTTGTTTTTTTTATGTTGCTCGATCGCGCAGGTTTCTTGGTGGTGGCGGCGAGATGTTTGAGAAGAAGACGAGAAGTAGGGGGGTGGGTTGAGCGGAGGGGAGGCGGCAGGCGGCGGCGATGCTGGGTGGCGTCGGCAGCGTTGTAGATTTTTTAGATGATTTATAAATTTGTGAATGATTTTGTTGTTGAGTATGTTCATTCGATCTGTGATGTCTGATTTGTGAATCTGTAGATGTTTTTATTGTTGAGTATGTTTATCTGATCTCTGATGTCAATTTGATGTGAGGATTTGGGTATTTCAATATACAAGCAGCAAAAAACAATGAAAAAAACATCATTTAGTCTCGGTTGGTAACACCAACCGGTACTAAAGATGATAGCATCAGTCACATGGTGATACCATCTTTAGTTCTAATTAGTGTTACCAACAGGGGCTAAAAATGAATCTTTAGTCCCGGTTATTTCAACCGGGACTAAAAATTCTCATCTTGAGTCCTGGATTAAATATCCCGGTTACATGCCCGGGATTAAAGGAGGTTGCGAACCAGGACTCAAAATGGATTCTCCAGTAGTATACATGTTGAGAAGATTAGTGTAACATATGCCTCTGTAGATACATATCTAGAACAAGCTATGTTACTATCAAGCAGCAGAGATTTCATATCCAAAAATGGATTCTTAATTTAACCTATGTTTGTAGAGGAACCAACTAACAAACTTTTTTTCGTGCATGAGACCAAATTTGAACCCTGGACGGTAATTAACATTCCACTAGAAGGCATTTACCATCATGCACAAACACGTTCACAAGATTAACGTAATTAACGTGTCTGTGTATATACAGATCTACAGGCTACAGCTATTTATCTTTACTAGTAATATCAAGTAGAGGTTTCATCGATCTATGATGCAGAGGCCGGGGGTGCAATTTTAGTGGACCATTAATTATCCAAAACAGGAAAGAACAAATCCATGCAAGCAACCACTGGACCATTTAGCAAGTACTTCATCACAGATATTCATGAAGATGAAAAAGAAGCCTTGCAATCTTTCAGCCAAGCAAGAGTACTGCAATGCCTTTTGGTTGCATCTGATACATGAATTGTCCATTTGTGTGAACCGCATGACAAAAATAAAATGACTATAAATCTTGGTTTCATCTGCATATTCAAATGACTACAATCCAAAGTCCTGATTTCACCATATCAGTTATCTAATGCAGTAAGCCATAACATCAAGCATTTAACTACAGAAGATACGAACAAGCAAGGTACATACACCTATATAATGGATTCAGAAAAATCAAATCATCAATTCACCAACTCCCTTTCCCCGCTCCCGTGCCAAATCGTCCTTCTCAGTGAGCCGGTTATTAGATCAAGTTTAATAGTATAGCCAACTATTAGCTCCAATTCTTTTTATAGCTAATTTATAGCTCATTCGTACAATAGTTAGGTCCCGTTTGGCACAGCTCTAGCTCCCAACTCCAACTTACCTATAGCTGGAGCTGTGCCAAACGGTACAGATTCACTATTTTTTGGAGCGGAGTTGGGAGAGCTGCTCCACAAATTTGTACTACGGGGGTGGAGCTGGGTTTTTGCTGCTCCACATCTCCACTTTACCCCAAAAGACCCACTATCCTTTAAGTTTTTAGTCTATTTACATAAAAATGCCACTCAATTACCCCTTTCACACCCCTCACTCCCGTTCTCTCTCCTCCCCAACCCCTTTCACAGCAGCCGGCGACCGGCGGCGATGGCGTCGGAAGGCGTGCGGGCGGCGGCGGCGGCTGGCGGCGGCGTCGGCAGGCGCGCGGGCTGCAGCGGCGGCGTCGGCAGGCGTGCGGGCGGCGGAGTGGCGCGGCGGCCGCGTCGGCCGGCGCGCGGGCAGCGGCCGGGCGATGCGTGTGCGACGGAGGCCGCGGCGGCGGCAGGCGGTGCACGGGAGGGGCGTGGGCGGCTGGACCTGCGCGAGCGACGGTGCGACGCACGTGCGGCGGCCGCGGCAGCCTGTGGGCTGACCGCCGGCGGCGGGGGCGGGGGTGAGCGGCGGCGGCGGCGCGCGGGCTGAGCGCTGACGGCAGCGGCAGGCGGCGGCAGTGTGCGGGTTGAGCGGCGGCGGTAGTGGCAGGGCGACGCTAACTAGGTGTTCGATGAAATGCCTACAAGGAACGTGGTGGCGTGGAGCAAGCCAATCTAGCTAAACACTTTCACACTCACTTCAGCTCCTATAGGAGCTAGCTCTCACTAGAGTTGGAGTTGAAAGCTAGGAGTTGGAGTTTGTAACCCTACCAAACGGGGCCTTACATACTACACTATTAATACCTAGTCACACATGTCATACACACACTGTATCTTGAAGTCCGTGCTACAGCGCCTATAAATCTATAGCCCGCTACTCTTCTCTCTCATCATTTATCTCTTTAAAATATGTTTGTAGCTGGCTTATAGCCTGCTATTGTACATGCTTTTAGTAGTACCCTTGTGCTGGAGGTGCCGAAGAGGATGGACAGCCAGGCTCGCCATCGCTTACCAAAGCTACAGTGGAGAACCATTTTTATATAATGATATCGCTCAAGTGGTGAGGACGTATATGCATCTAAGGATAGAAGAAAGAACTTATAATAGGATACATCTGAATCCATTACTTGCTTTAATTAATTCGGAGCAATACTCTACATTCGTGGCTTAGTAGTGTAGAGAATTGTAGGCTCCTTCAATGAAGTTGTTGACTAAAAATTTATTGTAGGCGAAAGAGAACCTATTGCACTAAAAGTTTCCTTCTTGGTTTCATAGCATCTAAAAGTACCGACTCACTTTACCAACATCAAAAGTTACACTACTGTTTTTAGCATTCCCATCCCCTTAACTCTTTCAATCCGTTAGCTCACCAAACTCTTTACTAGCAATCCGTGAGAGGTTTGGAAATATATCAATCTGCTACATACGAACTGGCCATATATATACGATCTCATGCGCCCGCCATTCAGAAATCGAAAGGATGAACCATGTATTGAAGGATGAATGAGAGGGCCAGGAGGAGGAGAGGAGAAAGTGGACAAGGAAGAGGAGTCGAGGAAATCGAGGAAGAAGTTGGTAATTCATTTTTTTTTTAAACACAGTACAAGCACTCACCCACTTCTATGAATGCACACACACATCCTATCACTATAAGCACTTCCGTAAGACTGGATATATTTTAAGGTTGACGAAGTCACCACTAAAAGAATAATTAACTATAAATATGAGTACCCGTGTTAAGTATTCTACCGAAATAACTTAAATATAAATAAATAAAAATATAGAATATCACACAGTTGTTTGGATGGAATGCTACAAACAGTAACAATGCAACTTCCGATGCTACTAAAGTGAAGGGATACTTTTTGTATAAAATGGAATAAAATTAAACCCTTGAGCTCGATCGAGAGCTAATTCCAACAACAACAAAAAAATATTATAAAGGTTCAGCAATCTGCTCTTGAATTTTCCTGCTATCTCTTTTAGAGATATATATTGGTGTTAAAGTTACCTCTTTACTCTTGCTATAAGGTGTGTATACAACCAGTCTAAATTTTTTACCACTCATATTCTCTCCAAGAATAGGACAAAACATAATTAACTCAAATATATCGTATTAAATATTTATATTCTCCTAGTTAACGTGAATATATATATCGCATTAAATATTTAGGTCCTAGTAGTTAATTCAAATATATATCCTATTAATGATTTAGATTGATACACCCTATACTTATAAATAAGCATTAATTGACGCCAACCAAAAACTGCATTTTAGAACTAGTATATATAGATGATATCAGCGACGTTAATCTCACATTCTGAACATAGAGTACTATCCCACCAAAACCATTCGATCGAAGCCATTTCAAGATCAGCTACAGTACCAGAATCAAGATGGCAGCAAAATTTTCTTCAGTCATCTGCAAGGTCCTCCTCATAGTTGTCACCATGGTTGCCCTTCTCTTCTCCTCTGGTAATTAATCAAGCTTATCTTTTCCATAACCCTAATTGATCTGGCTAGTTTTCTATGGATCAGATTTAATTTTCTAGATCAAATATATACAAAAACATGATTAACTATATTATTCTTAGGTGCTGTGTGTCAAATGAGCTAACCATGGATGCATGCACCGGTCAATGATAATGCAGGTTTAGCCGATGACGGTCCTGGGTACGAGTATTGCTTCCTAAAGTGCATCGACGAATGCAACCAAACCTGTAAGTCGAGTGGTTACACCCATGGAGGCGACTGCAACACTGGACCCTGTTGCTGCCTTTGGTAGTAGTGTAGTAGTGCTCATGAAAAATCAATGGATTAATGGAATATGTTTCATTACTTCCATTCATGTAAACATGATTACTGCTTGATGTGATGGCTATTGGTGAACTGAAATAAAATGCGAATGTTTTTAGTTGATGCATATGATGTGAGCTACTGAAAACTACATATACAGTAGTGCTTAATAGAGTGGAAAGGTACTATGTTTGACACTTTGACTCATGACACAATCACCTTTTGTTGTTATTCGTTAGACATCAAGTTGTCCACCGTTTTTGTAATTGTTGTACTGCAAGGGGATGGATTACCACCACGGAGGCGACTGCAACACGGGTCATTCTGCTGCTTGTGGTAGTGTAGTTACCGTGTTCATGAAAAATTAATGGATTAATGGGACGTTTCATTATTCCATTCATGTCCCCAATTAATTGATTTGGATCACCATTTATGCCCGCAATAAAAAACATTCGATGTCATGGCTAATTAATGAATCCAAATAAAGTCAAAATTAATGATTTTATTTGATGCATGCATCACTACAGAACACCTAATAGAGAACTCTTCCGTCCGCTCGATCCTTCACACGGGTCTAAAATTAAAAACTCGCATCAACATAAGTGAGCCGATCGAACCGAGCCGACTAGGAGCTTCTAGAAAAGAGGAGGCCGCTACTGCAAAAGGGAGAGGCCACTCCAGAAAAGTCGTCTTCTCCCTCCCTCTGCCGCTTTCTCCACCCTCCGCTCCACTCCTCTGACATTATCTCACCCTTTAGGCCTTCAATCGCTACCTCCATCTCCAACTCGGGCGTATGGCTGCCACTCTGTATCGCCGTCTTCCTCTCACCTACACGGTAGCCACACCGGACCTCCCCCCTCCCCGTCACCTCCTTCGTCGCACTGCAGACGAGAGGGACGAGGGAGCGAGAGGAGGCGGCATCAAGTTTGTTGGATCTAGCTCCCGCCACACCATCGTACCTTCTCCCTAACTGTGCTGTCGCTGTACTTTCTACACGACTGCTCCGCCGATGCATCCGCATTAATTGGCAAAAAAAATAGTGGTCATTTTCCATACGAACCCCTAGGATATAATATGATGTATTGATGTTGATCATGGATAGGGCTGCTGCCTATAGTAGCGATCCTAGCCTTGCTTATTATTAACTGATCGTAGTTCACAGGTCTAGATTAATTAGCGCCTGTGAAGCAGCCGAAGAATATTTTACATAAGCCCTTCACTTCATTCATATTTCCACTACAATGTTTCACGGTGTCTGCTGTCCTCAGCTTCAACGAACGTACGTGGCACGGGTGAAAAATGTGTAACACTTAATTCATACTCTCTCCATTCCATAATATAAGACGCACGCGCATTTCAAAATTCAAACTTTAAAACATTTGACCACTATTTAGTATAATATAAAATAAATTTTATTTGTTAAAAATTATATCATTAGATTGAGATTTACATTTACTTTCATATGGTAATAATTTTGTTGCTACAAACCTTATAGTATATGAGAAATTATAAGCTAAATATTAGTTTTGGAGACCGGACCAACTTTAACCATGTCTTATATTATGGGATGGAGGGAGTATCAAATTAACACTGAAATTGTTTCCTGATTGAAGTTATATAGTAAGATCCGTAGATCCATGGATAAAATTGCTACCCACTGTAGTGATCCAAACCTGGCTTGTTATTAACGGTCAGTCAAAGTGTATTTTCGCATAAGCCCTTCACTTTGTTCATATTGACAATAACAAAATGTTTCGTGACTGAAGTTTCTCAGTGTTCATATTAAACATTATCATCCCTTCATATTTTTCTTTCACAGTAATTGACCTGGTTTCTCAGTGGTCAACGACATTTTACCATTGTGTAAAAACCTAGAAACATTATACTTGGTTGTTTAGTAACATAGGAAGTTTATGTGGGTGAGGGCCATTTTAAGTCTTGTCGCTCCAATAATGATGCCATCGAGTTAGCCTTTAGTACGAGTAGGTCTGCTTAACTTGTAGAGCGGACTGATGCAGAATTTGGAGGTGGGATGCTAAAGAGGGTCTCTATTGGTGCACAAGTGCATTTCCTAGATCATCTGTAACTCACATGCGCCGCATTTTCACCTAAGATGGATGAACAGTCTGTGTTCTCTCTCATCAGTTTTGTTTCTAACTAACACAGGATAACATGTCTCTCGTCCATCTCTAATGACATTGCCACGGCTGCTTCGCCGTGCCACCCTCTTCCCCCACCCACCCTAATTGGTCGGTGCCATTTCCCCTGCCGCTGACCCCGGGCCATCGTCCTCTCCCATTAGCGGCCGATAGTTCCGCCGTTGCTTCACCATGACCACCACCGTTCAGCCGCTAGCCTGACCATCTCTCTAAACCCTTGGGAATAACCTGACTTTCCCCTCCGAGTGCCTTCCTCCCTCCCACCCATTCTTAGCCAGAAAATCTAACTTGACGGCTGCTGAAATCATTTTGCATGCTCCCACTCACCCTGACCTGCAACCCTAAGCCGGCAGCTATTCAATCCATTTGTGCATCCATCACACGAAAATGTATGGGCATTGAGTGCTAACGTTGTATGTGAAAGCGGACTAATGTGGATTTTAGAGCTAGGTGTTATTCTTCGAATTTACTATATATAACTGAAGCTCTAAATCTTGATATCAAATTAGAAGTAATAAATACAATTATATCAGAATGTGGATACCAAATTAGAAGTAATGAATACAGTTCTATTAGATAAGTCTAATTAAAATCTGGAGCTGTAAATCTTGATATCAAAATAGAAGTAGTAATAAAGACAGATAATTCAATCCAAATCTGAAGTATGTCAAATTAGAAGTAATAAAATACAATTCTGTCAGATAAGCTCATTCCGATCCTATGTATACAGTGACCGAGAGTTCGTACAACTCATCCCAAATTAAGCCATTGTGACCCATTTCAAAAATACAAACAGCTAGCTAGAGCGCAAGATCGAGATGGCAGCAAAGTTTTCATCAGTCATCTTTGGAGTCCTCATCTTTGTGGCCATAGCTGCCACCCTGTTCTCCACTGGTAATAATCACCTTGTCTCGTTTATTCAAGCATTTCCTCTTATCTGTAGCGACCGATATATACAGTTTTTTCATACAAGATGACATAAAGTTTATGTTGTATTTTTATACTGACACTCGAGCTAATCATGGAATGTCCTTGCTGAACAATTCAGGTTTAGCAAGGCCACCACCGGCTGGGTATGAGTTTTGCTTCCTGAAGTGCATCGATGACTGTGACCAAACCTGTAGGTCGAGTGGTTACACCCATGGAGGAGACTGCAACACTGGACCCTGTTGCTGCCTTTGGTAGTGTAGTAGTGCTCATGAAAAAAATCAATGGATTAATGGAATGTTTCATTACTCCTTTGTACGCAATTGATGTAATGGCTATCAGCTCAAGTGAAATAAAATGGGGATGTTTTTAATTGATGCATGATGTGAGCTAGTGAAAAATGATATGTAACGTCCCGCCTCTCTCCCAAGCCGAGCCTACTTACATCTAGCAGCTTTCATAGATCATAAACTGTCCTTACAGACCAACATTCTGCACACTTTGTCCTCACTCGTGCGGACAATTTTCCAGGCCGAGCCTACTTATATCTAGCAGCTTTCATAGATCATAAACTGTCCTTCTAGCAGCTTTCATAGATCATAAACTGTCCTTACAGACCAACATTCTGCACACTTTGTCCTCACTCGTGCGGACAATTTTCCGATCGGTCACCTATCCTGAAATTGCTCTAGGCTAAGCACGCTTAACCTCAGAGTTCTTTCGACATCGGCTACCGAAAAAGAAGTTGCAACTTATTGATATGAGTATTCTATTTATCCTATTAAGCCCTGGGCCGGGATGTTACATTCTACATTCGTCCTATGTCGCTTTAACTTTTTGCTTACAACGTTTGACCATTCGTCTTATTTTAAAAATTAGTGCAAATATAAAAAGATAAGTCATACTTAAAGTACTTTTGGTAATAAAGTGATGGTTTCTCCACCAGTGGTAACCCCACACGAAACCCTAACGACCTAGAGGCTATCGAAATCTGTTCACACGCTCCCGCCCACCCCCACTTATAACCCTAACTCTGCGATTGTCGAAATCCGTCAGTCTGCTCATCGTGCGTGTACGCTCGCGGAATTATGCGAGAACGGAGTAATGCTGATTTATGAGGTTGGATTGTTTTTGAGCCATGATGTTATACAATATTATTCTCTAAATCTACTGTAACTGCAGCTCTAAATCTGGATATCGAATAAGAAGCAATAAATACAATTCTATCAGATATGTTCAATCCAAATCTATAGTTATAAATGTGGATATGAAATCCGAGTGATAGTACAATTCTATCAGACAACTTCAATCCAAATCTTCAGGATATCAAATTATAAATATTTTATACAATTCTATGAGATAAGACCAATCTGACCCGCCCCTATATATATACTCTGTACTGACAGTACATACAACTCCACCCAAATTACACCATTTTAACCCATTTCAAGAATCCAAACAGCCAGCGACAGTGCCAGAATTAATCAAGATGACACAAAAGTTTTCATCAGTCATCTTTGGAGTCCTCATCTTTGTGGCCATAGCTGCCACCCTCTTCTCCACTGGTAATCAACTCTGTCACATTCAAACCCCCCAGATCTGATAATTAAGCATTTCCTCTGATATGTAGAGATCGATATATTCAGATATCCTTTACAAGATGAACAAAGTTTAGCATGATCAATTAACTTTTTAGGCTGTGTCACTCGAGCTAATCATGCTGTGTCCTTGCTGAATAATGCAGGTTTAGCCCAAGGTGGCCCTGCCTACGAGTATTGCCTTCTGAAGTGCATTGACAGGTGTGACGAATTCTGCAAGACGATGGAGTACCCCAATGGAGGCGACTGCAATACTGGACCCTGTTGCTGCCTGTGGTAGTGTAGTTGTAGTGCTCATGAAAAATTAATGGAGTATTAGAATGTTTCACTACTCCATTCTTGTACAGAATGATAGGCTGCTTGCTGTGATGGTTACAAGTGAACGGAAATAATTAAAATGGAAATGTATTTTGTTCATAAATGGAAATAGTGCTTGATAGCAGTATTGTTTAGATGATTTTGTAGATAAAGCATATTGTTTAAGTTTATTATTAGCCTAGCGGGAGGGGTGTTTAGTTTTGACCATAAGGTTCCGTATTTGACATTTCAACTCCTGACACCGTTACATTTTCTCTTAATTATTCGGCATCAAGTTATTTTTTGGTTGTCCTTTGTTTTTTTAAAAAATATTTGTATGGTTGTCTTCTAAAATAGCTCTAGCGGTGAAGATGCCTTGATTGGTGATGAAGATTGCAGCACATAAGGATGCAAGTAGACAGTTTCGTTACCCGCATAAAAACCCACTTGCTAGTTTACTTCTCATATGGTAGTAAAAAAATTAGAAGAAAAAATAAACTATAAGTGACATAAGCGGGCAAAAAAAACCTGCTTGCCCTGTCCCGCTTGTATCCCCAGCAGCACATGGTTATCCTGGAGTCTCAACGACAAGAGCCTTGGGATAACACATGTATAATTAGGCCGACCGATCTACTTTATTTAATGGGTTGATTCGTTCTTAGATGGCTAGCAATAATAAGACTTTGATTTGCTAGATTATAACTTCTAGCAATAAAAAGGTGGAACCGTACCTGGAGCTCCGACCTCCTAAGCTGAAATAATCAAAGAATTAATCAGGATAGGATGGCACGAATCTTATAGCATCGAAGCACGAATCTTGGCAGCCGGGATAGTCCGATAGCGCCCAAGCGGATAGAGCAGTTGCTACAGGCTAGTTCGTCAGTCTTTTCCTCCTCAAATCCTCCATGGCGGAGGAGAGGGATTAGCCACAGTGCGGCGCGGAGGACGACGGCGATGTCGATGCCCACCTTCCACCTCGCCCCCGACCTCGCCGTCTCCCGCCTCTGCTTCGGTCAGCCTGCCCCCCAGACCACCCTCCTCCTCTCTCTCTCCCGCGGTTTTCTTCTGACTCAGCGGCCGTGTGTTGAAGGGACGATGACGATGGGGGAGCAGAGCCGGCTGCCGGAGTCGCTCCGCCTCCTCGACGCCGCATTCGACGCCGGCGTCAACTTCTTCGACTCCGCCGAGATGTACTACTACGCTCCACTTCTCATCCTGCCCCCCCCCCCCTCATCTTTTCCTCTTTTCCAAGAAACACCCCTGGATAAATTATCGGAGGGGCTTTTATGCAAAATGTCTTCCAGGTACCCGGTCCCACAGCGCAGTGAGACGCACGGGCGCAGCGAGGAGTTCCTCGGCCGCTGGCTGCGGGCCCGCCGGGCCCCACGTGACAGCGTCGTGCTCGCCACTAAGGTCAACGGTGGTCAAAGCTTCTTCCACACTTCACAGCTTCACTGGCTCACTCACTGAGGTCGACTGAATTATCGTTTTCTTGCTGTGTTTTGGTGATGCTGCGTTGGTGGGATAGGTCGCCGGGCCGTCCGGGGAGATGACGTGGATCCGCGGCGGGCCGGCGTCGCTCGATTCGCGGAACATCGCGGAGGCGATTGATGGAAGGTTGGTCGATTGGAATGCCGTTCTTTCTTCCCAATTCTAGTGCTGTTATTCTGGTCAGAACTTCAGAACTCTGATGCTTTGATGGTCTCTGTTAGTCGACCTGTTTGTGTGAGTCTGATGCTGATTAGTGCTATAAAAGCTAATCCTTGTTGCATGAATATACTTGATGCTGATGTACGAGTTGTCTAGTTCAATCGTGGCAATGTGAATTCTTTCACAGTTCCTGTGTTTTCTGTAGTTGTATGTTGTATAGATATTTCTGTTGATATCTGAGTGACCGAGTGTACCTTGTGTTGATTGGGATATGGTGCAGTTTGCGCAGGCTGGGAGTGGATTACATTGATCTTTACCAGATACATTGGCCTGATCGGTCTGTGGAACATGGTTTCATGCCTATAACTGTGATACAGTTTCGCAGTGTTGCCATCTTGCGTTTCTGCGCATCATTGACTTTTAATAAGGGATGTTGTGCACTTGTGCCTGCAGCTATGTCCCGATGTTTGGAGAGACAGAATATGATCCAAGCCATCAGTATATGTCTGTTCCAATGGAAGAGCAGCTACTGGCTCTTGGAAGAGCCATAGACGCTGGCAAGGTTTGTTGCAAGGGTGTTTGCGTTTCATTGTTATGACAAATGTTTACTTATGGCCAGCAAGTTTATTCATTGCTGATGTTAGATTAGGTACATTGGCCTTAGCAATGAAACACCATATGGGTTGATGAAGTTCCTTCAACTGAGTAGAGATTCCCAGCTGCACTCCAAGATACTGACAGTGCAAGTAAGTGTTACGCCGTTTTTTTTTCTGATTCTATAATTCATCGTATTTAGTATCAGCACATGCTCATACCTTTTTTGGCAATTCTTTTGCAGAACTCATATAACCTGCTATGTCGAAATTTTGATGCTGGGCTAGCTGAATGCTGCCACCATGAGAGGTATCTGTTATATAGTCCTGAAATTGGCTGTTATCTTTAGCTTGGTACATTTACAACTGAAAAGTACTTCCTTCTCAGCATGTAACCCTGTGAAATGATGTTAAATTTGCAAAATGTACTCGTCACTTGCTTTTCTATATACAAACTTACAATTCTGCAAACTGATACTGAAGTTTCCTTGCTGCACTATGAAAAATGCAGAATCAACTTGCTAGCTTACAGCCCAATGGCCATGGGTATACTTTCAGGGAAGTATTACTCATCGGATGATGGCGGCCCACCAGATGCAAGAATGAATCTTTTCAAAGGTCTGAACTCTGAAGTTGCACATACTACTTGCATCTTTATATCTGTTTTGCACCACAGCATCATAATTGTTCCTCCTGCTTTCCAGGGAGATACTCTGAGGGTGAATCCAGATATAATCTTCAGAACCCCAAAATGAAAGCTGCTGTGAAGGTGATCTGGTGATTTATATCTTGTCATCGTAAATTAACTCAGTGCTTACACTGCATTCCTTATAAATTAACTCAGGAATACGTAAAAATTTCTGCTAAGCATGGGATTTCGCCAGCGATTCTAGCAGTTGGTATGTCAACTCATCATTTTTGTAACATTTGAAGTTGCTTTCCCTTACTGTTGCTTTCATATCCCTGTCTCTCAATATTGCTTTCAGCGTTTGTTCTGAGGCACCCCCTTGTGTCATCGGCTGTTTTCGGCGCGACAGAAATTTCGCAACTTACAGAAGTTCTTCAGGCCACCAGGATCCATCTCTCTGAGGAGATTGTTGCAGAGATCAATGAAGTTCATGCAAGATATCCCAACCCTTGCCCATAAGAAGTTCAGAACAGAACACAGTAGTCAGATCTTCTCTTTGTCTTTCTTGTTCTGTAGATTGCAAATTTGCAATGTCATATGATCATCAGTGAGTAACAGTTAGCAGTTTTGCCAAGGATGAGTTATTCAACTTGTCCTATTGTTGTTGCCAATGCCAACAAGTGATTATCTGATAAATTGCATTATCTCCAGTCTTATTTTCCTTCTGCTCACAAGCACAATAACTGCTAATTAAGAATGCAAACTGGATACAATGAAATTAAAGAGACAACTTGTACTGTGGCAAAATCATGATTTGCTCATTTAATTTGGGCCAGCCCAACCTGAAACATTTTTTATTTTTCTGAATTGTGAGGGCCATTGCACCGACAATGTACTGGACCATGTACAGCGATCGGTACGGAAAACAGAAACGTCCAGCCTTGCCAAGATATGACGGATCAACTGTACTTTTGTTCGTTTCCTTCAATCTTGTCGCAAATTCAAATCCACCAGATAATTATTATCACAAAATAATAATGCAGATTCACTAATAATTAAATGCATTGCCAGATCGGCTACAGTTTATAACTATTTAAGCACACGAGCATCTCTCATTCCGTGTCAGTCATCAGTGTTCGCCATGGCAAGCAGCAGCAAGCTCTCCTCGGCGTTCGCGCTCGCCGTCGTCGTCCTGCTGCTCGCCGGCGGGGTGATGCCGGCGGCGGAGGCGGCGTCGGCGCACCTGCACTTCTTCATGCACGACACGCTGACGGGGGCGGCGCCGACGGCGGTGCAGGTGGTGAACGGTCCGCGGAGCCACTTCGGCGACACGATCGTGATCGACGACGTGCTGACGGCGGCGGCGAGCCGGTCGTCGGCGGCGGTGGGGCGGGCCAAGGGGCAGTACGTGTGGGCGTCGTCGGGGAACCCGGAGCTGCTGGTGACCATGGAGGTGGTGCTGACGTCGGGGCCGTTCGCCGGCAGCTCGGTCACCGTCGTCGGGAGGGACGACATCGCGGCGCCGGTGAGGGAGCTGTCGGTGGTCGGCGGCACGGGGGAGTTCAGGATGGCGTCCGGCTACGTCCTCTGGAAGACGGTCAGCCTCGACCACCCCAACGCCATCCTCGAGCTCGACGTCTACGTCAACCCCTGAGATCGCCGCCGCCGCCGCCGGCCACCGTGTGCTTGCTTCCGGCGTACGTGGTGGTGGCATGACGTGGCGTGTGCCAGCACACGACACATGTCGCAGCTGCCACGGATGCTACACTACCTTACACTATACTACTATACTATACTAGTACTGCCACCCAGCCAGTGACGAATAATATGGACAAGTCCATTCCATGTGTTGTTAGTTGTTACCGTGGCGTGTAATAATTCATGAGATTTGTCAATTATCAACTTCCATTCCAGATCAATAGTACAATTATTCATCAAAAAAATGAGAATTATAAAAGTAACATGAATGCTGTAATAGCTCAGTTGGTTAGAGCGTGTGGCTGTTAACCACAAGGTCGGAGGTTCAAGCCCTCCTTCTAGCGCTTACTTTGTTCTTTTTTCCCACTACATAAAAACTTTACTTTTTAAAATCTCTACCTTTTCACTTCATACACTTTTTTAATAATAAAAATACACTTCATACACTTTTTCAAAATCTCCACCTTAGTTTTTAAAATCTCTACCTTTTCACTTCATACACATTTCTAAAATAAAAATACACTTCATTCATTTTTTTAAAACTACAAAAATACACTTCTTACACTTTGTCAAAATCTCCACCTTACTTTTTAAAATTTCTACCTTTTCACTTCATACACTTTCCTAAAATAAAAATACACTTCATTCATTTTTTTTAAATCTCTACCTTTCCACTTCATACACTTTTTTAAAAATAAAAATACACTTCATACACTTTTTCAAAATCTCCACCTTTTCACTTCATACACTTTTTAAAAATAAAAATACAATTTTTTCAGAGTTACATCATGGGGACTTTTTTTAATCCATGTTTGAAGATGGAGCCACTCCTGAGCTCAGGAATATTATCTTGTTCTTGGAAAATGTAAGGTCTCTTAAATTACTCGGCAGTCTTCCAAGATTGATGGAGCTTGAGCTGAATGGCAGCAACAAGCATGTCCTCCTTCCATTGTTGAAGGAAAGTGCCAATCGAATTGCCAAGGTCATTCTTTGTAATTTAGGAGAGGAATTTGGGGATTTTCCACAGTTCATTGATCTACCCCTGAAGGGGAAATATAAATATGTACAAAAGAGATGCGAAAATACTAAACTACCCCTAATATCTTAACACCCCCACTCAAATGCAATGTGTATACAATAATATTGCATTTGGAGTGTAACTAAACATGAGAACACAAACTAAATATTAGCCTATCTTTAAAGTCTTGATGATGTCGTCAAAGTGTGCCAATTCTTAGATGATGATGAAGAAAAGATATATCCCCTTCTCAATGAAGTGGATCTCGGAGCCTTCACAAACTGTTCTTCGGCCCTTGGTACCTTGAAGCCTTCACGAACCGTTCTTCGGCTCTTTATTGATTTGGAAATGTGGTTGATGATGATGATGACAATGGAACTTCACAAACTGTTCTTCGGTCCTTTGACTGATGATGATGTTGATGAAGGCCCTTCACAAACTGTTCTTCGGACCTTCGCTGATTGATGATGATCATGATGACAAGCTCCGACATGGAGACGATGAAGTGACAATGAAGGCCAGTTCCAATGGGGAGCTGGTGATGATGAAAGCCAACTCTGACAGGGAGTTGGTGGTGTAGAAAAGACGATGAAGAGATGAACTGGCATAACTTTGACAAATTGAATGATATGCAATGGACTTTGGTAGATGGACACTATGAATTTCAGATGAAAAAGAGACAATATTGTAACAGCAGACACCTAGCAAAAGTCGCACTGTGATGATAAACCTGACTAAGATGATAGCACAACAGAGATGATATAATGACACAACTTGGCAGACTAAAATCAAAAGGATGGATTTGATGAACAAACAGAGATATCACATTGTACTATGGAATATGGATAGGCATCAGCAATAAGCACATCAATGCAGCAAGCAGAAGTGATGGTAGTATATGGGAAGGGTTCGATCTGACACTATGATAGACCAAAAGACAAACCGGAATGTCTGCTGCTAGCTTTGCTGAACGACAACGCATACTACTGCAGCAAGCTCGATGGAAGTCCAAAAAATGGTTACTGCTTGAAGATGGCCTCGTCCGGTGCAGCAGCATGAGCAGAACATCCACACACGCAGATGCAGACATGGGGACAAATTGTCACGACGACAGCCTGGATGGGGCGCCGCGACGGGCGGCGGGCACAAGGACAAAAGCCGGCGGGAGGAGTGGCACAGACTGGCGATGGGGCCAGTGGCAGCCTCCCACGATTGACGACGGAGAATGACGGCTTGCGATGGGCAGCGTGCCGGCGTGACCAGCGGCGGGAGGCGACCAACAGCAGACTAGATCGGAAGACGACGACGATGGCTCACCGACGGCGAGCACGGATCTGACAGCAACCGGCGCGAAGGTGATGACGACGGGTCGACCGGCAGCAGAGACGAGGATGGACTACGACGAGCTGAGGATGAGGTAAGTTACTGCCGGCGGCTGCTACTTCTCGTGCTGCCTTGTTGGATTTGGACTTTGTAATGGTTGCTTGCTGCTGCTTGGATTTGGACACTTGCTGCATCTGACTGCTTAGCTGCTTGCCAATGACGTTGAGAAGAGACTGCTTGATGAAGAAAAGCCAAAAGGACGTGAGGACAAGGTGATGGCTCGCCGGCGGCGAGCCGCCATCGACGCGCCGGTGAGGACACCGGATTGAGCTAGGGTTCGGATCTTTGCTCTGATACCATGTAATTTAGGAGAGGAATTTGGGGATTTTCCACAGTTCATTGATCTACCCCTGAAGGGGAAATATAAATATGTACAAAAGAGATGCGAAAATACTAAACTACCCCTAATATCTTAACACGTAGTACAATGCTGAACCAAGTTGATCTGCAAGTCCTTGCCAAAAAACCAAACTTGAAAATTTTTTATAACCATTTAGATGACATGCAAGAAACGGGTGGACGTTCACCCGAGTGTTTAAAACATTTTCCCTCTTGGACAGTTCTTACAATGAAAGCAAACTTACCTTCAAGAAAGAAGAGTTCCTGAAGCTCACCTTACTTACTGTCGACTGCCCTGCCATAAACAAAATCACCTTCACTGACGGAGCTGTGCCTAAGATGGAGAAGATAACCTGGACCTTGAGCAGGATAGAGTCTCTCTCCGGCATCAAAAACCTTCCAAAACTGAATAGGCTCCAGTTGTTTGGTGACCATGTCCCCTATCAGGTGAAAGAAGACATTAAAGCACTTAGAATGCGCCTTGTTTATACACACGGGTTCACGCAGGAGCAGCAGAAGCAAGCAAAAAGAGGAGCAGAAGAAGACCAGGAAAAAGATGATGTAAGGTTTCAACTTTCTTGCTTCACCTCCAAGAACTGGTGTATCAGCCCTAGTTCGCCATAATCCATTCATCACTAGATATCATTGCCATGCTTGCTCGATTCGTCGATCGTATGCTACCAGCCGGTACGTGTGCTTTGTCTCTCCTGAATTGTGATGCATGGTCGATCGTGTAAACATACGACTGTGCTGTGTGCTCCTATATAGTGGTGCGTATGTGTGTATACGTAAATGTGTCCCTGAAAACCGTACGTGTGCGGTTTTGCTAGCTTCTTGCTTGTTTCTTGAGCATAATAACAGCTGTGGCCAATGCAGCTTTGGTCCTGTGAGGATATCGGTCGAGATCAAGTTGGGTTTGCTCGAGTTGAGCAGCCTAATTTCATCTCGATCAATCACCTGCATGCATGTGTGGGCATGCATTGAGTTGATCAGTGTGTGTGCTAGCTTTGAGCATATGGGTGGTGCTCAATTCATCGAGGATTCGGATTTGTGTGTGTGTGATTAATTTGGACCACCAGATGTGGTTTCATGTAATAATAAGCGCGACATTATCCCGCAGGTTAATTGATTGTGATGAACCATTGAGTGCTATGTTATATACACATATTATATGCTCTGTTTGTATATATTGAAGGACTGGAACGGAACTGATTATTTCCAACAGGGATGATCCAAAATGAAAAGATACCTGATTGGCTTGCTTGCATTTGTATGGTTAATTTACATTTGTTAGTGTCCGATCCCAAAGCTTTCCCGTTTTCTTTTCTTTCTTCCGAACCCTTCCACATCAGCAATGCATGGGGTCTCAGCTCTAAAGAAATTAATCTGCAGTGATTTAGTTTGCAGTTCTGTTAATGCCTGAGTAATTCCTACTAATACATGTTTATTAATTCGATCTCGCGAGCGGAAAGGCCGTACATCATCCAATAGATTTTAGCGGCAAAATGACACGGATTTTTGACCTTCGGATCCGCTTCATGATCCGTGCTCCATGACCTCCAGCTCTAGCTCCAGTGAACTCCGGGAGCTACTGAGTGGTTTGGTTTTGGGTTGTGGTTGGGGGAGAGCTGGCTATCAAGGATTAATTACTGGTCTCCATTTCTTTAAACATATGTTAGGCGTAGACTCAAGTGGGTGTGCATGTGTGGCGCTTGATGTATGCGTGTTTGTCTTCCAAGTAATCGAGAGAAAAAAGAAACATTTGATTGAGAAGCTATGAGATGCGACGATATCCAAAGTGGAGCAACCTTGATTGAATGTTGCGTGAGCTCGATCTTGATCTTGTCTCTTCAATTTCTAAGTGCTTGTTCCCAACATGCATGGGCATACAGTTGATACAACCACCTATCCAGATGTTCTTTTGTTATTAAAAGAATAACTAATGTGCAATATGGTTGCTAAAACATGCATATTAATTAACTACCAGTGGCTGGCGCCGTCAGTGGGCTGCTGGGCCTCCTCCAAAACGAGGCACTGCTGGCTACCAGCAATTCCTAGCTACCAGCAGTTAGCAGCGTGCATGACCTGTGGCATCTGATCGGTGCACGCATGCTTGCTAGCTTGAGAATTCCAGATATGCTGATTGATGCAGCTAGATGTGCTCATGTACCTATCGAGTTGGATTGGTGTGTGTTTCATCCGGACTACCTGCACACACGTGTGCCTTGAGTTGATCAGTGTGTGTGCTTATGCTCATGGTGGATTGGATTTGTGTGTGTATATGTCAGTGTATGTGTGGATTCAGTTCATCCCACTGAAACCATCAGGGTGTGGTTTCATGTAATTAATAAATTGCGACAACATTTGGTTCGCATGCATGTTAATTAAGTAACCACTGTGTGCTTTTCATATATCTCTGCTCTGATTTTGCTCTACTTACATGCTATGAACTATGAACTACCAGAAATTGGGAATTTTCAGGGTAACGAAAATCCCCGAGGTCTCGTATGTCTATGACAAAATTCGAACAAATTTTTAATTTGAACCGAGAAAAGATAACTTTCGCACAGATCGATTCGAGGGGGGGAAGAGAGCCTAACCGAAGAAATCAGCCGCACCACCGGCGGCCGGAGCGGAGAGGACGACTTGCCGGCGCCACCGCGCCACCATTTGCGCCGTCGGAGAGAATCGGGGTCCCGGCCGGGAAGCCGCCCGTGCCCCGCCGTGGACAGTAGGGGAGCCACCGGTGAAGCCGCAGAGGAGGACGGCGAGGCCACTGCCTGGAGTCGCCGCCGCCGCCGCCGGCGGGGAGGTCACAGGTTGGCACGCATGCAGAGCCCAGCCGGTGGTAATGGCGGCCCAGTTATGTGGGCTGGCTGGCTGTGTGTAGGCCCATATGGTTGGAGGGAATCGGCCCACTGGGCTCTCCACGTAAGCTGACTGACCATTCTCCCAAACCAAACTTACCTTGTCATTCTCACGATACAAAAGTGAGTTTTGCCACACCGCTGTTAGGTAAGGCATGTTTTGTTAGCTACTCCCTCCGTGTAAAAAACAAAAAAAACTCAACTTCTGATGTTTGAATTTTGTCCCACAAAACATCAACTTTTACCATCCTATCTATCTTCAACACATTGTTTTATCCCTTAAATATATACCTTTTACTTATCTATCACTATTACTACTTTTTCTAATAATGAGGGATATTTTGGTCATTTTTACTCTTGACTAATTTCTTTCCAATAATGAGGGATATTTTGGTCATTTTTACTCTTGACTAATTTCTCCTTGGGATTCTATAAATGGACATTTTATGAGACACATGGAGTAAGTGTTTGGTTGGTTCTTACAACTGTGGCAAGCCACACTTTACTAACTCACTGACCCATATGTTATAGGTTTATTTTTTAGCCACATCTTGCCAACTTTTTGTGGCTTGTGACACCTTTGGTAAGCTGCATTGTGGCAAAGTTTTTCTTCAACCAAATAGGCCCTTAGTAATTCCAAAAGCTTCCTGTCTTAAAACTCAAATCAAATACTCCCTCCGTCCCAAATATAAAAACCTAGGACTGGATGAGACATTTCCTAGCCTGTCCAGATTCGTTGTATTAGAAAATGTCCCATCCGGTCCTATGTTCTTATATTTTGGGACGGAGAAAGTATGTAATAAGGGCTTCAAACAACAACATTTTGTTATATCAAAATGTGCCAAAATTGGACATTCCAAAATTTAGTTGGGTTGGTTTGGGCAACAACCAAACAAGCCCTTTGTCCATGGGTTTGGATGCTTGGTTGTTCCATTACATGCATGCATGGTGTGGGAGGGTGAAGACTGAAGAGATAAGGCAGAGATAGGCAGAGATATGTATTACTACCTCCGTTTCAAGTTATAAAATGTTTTGACTTTGGGTTTTGACTTTGGTTAAAGTCAAACTGCTTCAAATTTGATTAAGTTTGTAGACAATAATAATAACATTTTCAACCCAAGACAAATTTATTATAAAAATATATTCAATTATTGATTTAATGAAATAATTTGGTAATATAAATATTAATATACTCCCTCCGTTTCTAAATATTTGACGTCGTTGACTTTTTTAAACATGTTTGACCATTCGTCTTATTTAAAAAAATTAAGTAATTATTATTATTTTTCCTATTATTTGATTCATTGTTTAATATACTTTCATGTATACATATAATTTTACATATTTCATAAAAAGTTTTTAAATAAGACGAAAGGTCAAACATGTGCTAAGAAGTCAACGGTGTCAAACATTTTGAAACGAAGGGAGTATTTGTCTACAAACTTAGTCAAACTTGAAGTAGTTTGACTTTAACCAAAGTCAAAACGTCTTGTAACCTGCAACGGAGGGAGTAGTAAAGAGATTAAAAGCAAAAGAGGTGTCAAAAACTTTTTGATCTCTTGAGGGTCATCCCATCCATCATATGCAAATAGTTATGAAAAAATATTTAGATATTTGACAATATTTATATAGCGCATACATATACCATACTTGATTTCCAAGTCAAACATAAACTCAGACATCAGATTAAAAAAATGCAAATCCAATATATAAACGGTACAAGTACTTTTCACACTCAAATTAGTCCATTTATTTATTACATGCATCCCTTGTATTCATGATTTTCTGATACCTCTCAAATAAGACAGTACAAAAAATTCTCATCCATATGTACATCATATTCATGTGCGTATAGTCATAGTTAAGCGAAATTTTGCATCAAATTAATTCCTATATGGATAGAGTATCATAATTTGGCCTTGATTAATGTTTTATAATATAATAGTCCGGCAAAAGACATGACATTGACCAAATTTTGGTATGGTAGAACCTTTTTACGGCTCTTGAGGTAAAGAGCGTGTCATAAGTTTAAGTGTTAGACTGTTAGTGTATGCCTTTATGGTATCTTTAACATATATCTCCTCCGGACAATAAAATGTTATAATCAAAATCTACTTTCCGAGGAGCTATACACCGGTGCATTCGATGGAAATAGATCCTCTAACGTGAATTTGCCCCTATCGTCATTGACACGTGGGCCAACAAGTGCTGGGTCCATACATCAGCGACCATGTCCCTCAGACGTGAAGTCGGAGGATCTCAATCCGCATTGGATCTTATAATAAGCTGTCAAAAATATAATGAAGTAACAGTACCTAGACTCAGCTAGCTCCAGGTACATCTCAATAATGGGTAATGTAAGGGAAAAGAATATTGTCCTTCATAAGGCAATGTTTCAAGCAAGAATGGATCTGCAGACAACCAAAGCAAGAAAAGGATAAATAATAAAGAAGAATAGGGCCGCCGGATGACAGTGCTCCAAAGAGAGAAGTAACCAAAGGAATATCATTCATTGACAGAAAGAAGTAAAGAGAAGAAAATGTACGTGAGTTGCAGGCCAAATAAAGCTAAGCATTGGGATCCAATGCCATTAGTTTCCTCAAGTCTAGGGCAAGGGAAATATTCCTTAATTATCTTGTCATGCATGCAGCAGCAACCATGGAGTCATGAGTTCATGACCCAATCAAGTATGGGTTTTTGCAGCAAGAGAAGTTACCCAACCACTGTTCATTGATCGATTAGCCAAACAAGCACCCACCCCACCCAATTCATGAAGCTAGGCAGCCTAGCTAGCTTGTGGCTGCTAAACTGATCAAGAATTCAAGCCTTAGCCTAGCCTAGCTAGCTTGATCCGGCCAGACAGCCAGCCAGCGGCTCAGGTGGCGCAGCGGCGATGGCTGAGGTCGCGGTGGCCGCCGTGACCTCGCTGCTGGGGCAGATCCGCAACGAGGCGCTGTTTCTGGGGCGCGTGAAGAGCGACGTGCGGTTCATCAAGCACGAGATGGAGAGCATGAGGAGCTTCCTGGAGCACCTGGCCGAGACCGGCGGTGACCACGACCCGCAGGTCCAGACGTGGATGGAGCAGGTCTGGGAGCTCGCCCGCGACTGCAGGAGCTGCGTCGACATCTACCTGCAGCGCGGGAACCCGGCGGCGGTCCTCGGCCCGAGGGGCGGCGCCCTCCGGCGATACCTCTGCTGGGCGCCTTGGTTCGTGCAGAGCATGGTGCACCAGCACTACGCTGGCATCGAGCTGAGCGAGCTCAAGGAGCGGGCGTGCGACGTCGCTCAGCGTCGCAAGAGGTACGACGTGGTGGTCGCCCCCAAGCTGGAAGCCGTGCCGCCACCGGCATCGTCGTCAGAAGCTGAAGAAGACTACGGTGCAACACGCGACAATTTGGCTGGTGGTGGTAGCAGCAATTCTGATCTCGGTCGAACAAGTGCTCTAGAGGGTCGGTCTCTAGAGAATTACTGTGGCGAGGAGCTTGCCCACTGGGTGATGGGCACGACGACAACGATGGGATCGTCGTCGGCTTCAATACCATCCATCGCCATTGTATCGCCACCGATACAAGAAGCTGATGATACAGCAGAGATGGTTGCAATTCATGATGCTTTGGCTTCTGTGGCGGCCACCCATTTTGAGCGCTCACTCTTGGTCTACCTCCCGGCAATGCATCACAACCCCTCCCGTATCCGGATCAAACTCAGTGACATCCTCTGCTACATCCTGTATCAATGCCACATGGAGAAGGAGAGCTGGCACTCCCGATGGGGCCGCGAATACTTAAGCATGGTGGAGGAATATCGAGCGTCGAATCCGGTGAATGCCATGAAATGCTACATTTACAAAATGAAGAAGATTGCTGACATCTGTAGGGGTTACACTTTCAAGAGAGTTTTCCAAAATGTTGTTCAAATAGGCAGGATGGTTACTCAAAGACTCAACGGTGAGCTTGAAAGAGGTGTAGATGCTATGCTCGGACTGACGAACAAGAAACCCTTGTGCATACTCTTGAAAGCGCTGGATTACCTTGAATACGGCGCTGATTTCACTGACGTGAGAAAGTACCACGAGCTTCGGGTTGACAGGATGCCATTTCAATTTCAGATGCTACAATTGGATGAAGAAAAATTACTGGTGGCAACGGCCCAGAAGCTTAAAGGGCATATTGAAACTAACATTCCGATTCATCTCAGCCATGCCACATATGAATCCATCCTGCGCGAAGTGTTCCAAGCCAGCAACAAAAACCTACAGGCCCAGGAAGGAACCACTGCTCCCAGCCCAGGCGTTGGTACTAGTCATGATGTTGCAGCTGCAGCAGCTACTCCTACAACTACTACATTCGACAAGGATCAAATCAAACAAATCATATACATCCACATGGTTCAGCAGGAGGTCCTACAGGAGCTACAGGATAAGCAGCCTTCACAAGTGCCGGAAGCAGGCAAATCTTTGGTGAAGGCCGAGCAAGCCACACCTAATCCAGCCAATCAGGATGACCATGAATTTACAAGTGCTATCCAAGAAACCAAGGAAAAGATCGCACAAATCGGGGTAAAGATCGAGGAACGGCTTCTTATCGAATGCATAGTTGAGGAGATTAAAGAGCTTTTGGGAGGTAAAAGGACCCTGATTATCATTGAAGATGATAAGAACTATGTATCCCAGTGGTATGAGCTCAGAAATTCTTTGGAGCAGCTATCATGCTCAGGCAGCGCAATGATTGTGACCACCCAGGACACTCAAAGGGCCAAAGAGATTTGCTATCCACCAAGGGAGCCTATAACCAATTCTATTGTTGGCATGTACCATGATATTTTGCTCAAGGTTACAAGCCAGCGAGTGAATGGAGATGCCAGTCAGATTTTCCGTGACATCCTGAACAAGTGTTGTCCAAGTGAGTTCTGCATGAAGACCTTTGCTCATGCCCTGTACACTAATCCCAATAGGAGCAATGAAGATATGTGCAAGTTGCTTGGCTCCCTTCATTCACAGCAATCATCGGGCATCAATGCTGAGAAGATGATCAAGTTCTCCTACGATGATCTCCGTAAAGAATACAAGTCTTGCTTGCTGTACCTATCAATCTTCCCTCATGGTTACTCCATTAGGCGGTCAACCTTAGTAGAACGTTGGGTTGTAGAAGGGCTCATAACTAAGGAAGACTGGCCTAGTGCAATTCATCATGCTGAGCGATGTTTCGACACACTCATTGATCGATGGCTTATCTATCCCAATGATATTGGAGCTGCAGGAAAGATAAAGAGTTGCACTGTAGGTAATCTTGTTCATGAGTTCATCACCAAGATTGCAAAGAAACAACATATCGTGGAACCACGCCTGTCACATCATTTGGCTCGTCATTTCTCCATCTTCAATGAGCTCCAACTCCGTGGCTCGGATAGAATCGACAGGTTCTTCAAGAATCTCTCTAAATCATCTCAATTGTCAATGCTTAAAGTGCTAGATCTAGAAGGCTGTTGTTGCTTCAAGGGGAAGGAGCACTACCTCAAGGACATTTGCAGCAATATATTACTACTCAAGTATCTGAACCTAAGGGGAACGGATATTACCAAGCTACCTCATCAAATCAACAACCTCTATGACCTGGAGGTATTGGATATCCGGCAAACTAAGGTGCCTGCGTTTGCAACAAAGCATGTCCTGCTCCTGAAGCTAAAACGTCTGCTGGCTGGTTCAAGTATTAGTGAGACCACCATGTCTATCAGGGACAAGGAGCCATTATCCTCCTATGTCCGAATTCCTCTTGGGATAAAAAAAATGGCAAACGTGGAGGTATTATTCAATGTCAAGGTCTGGACTGGCCAAGAGTTGAAAGACATTGGGAAGCTATGGCAACTGAGGAAGCTCGGTGTGGTTATCGACGACAAGGACAATCTACTCAAGAATTTGCTTACAGCAATTAGTGACTTATGTGAGTGCCTCCGGTCTCTGTCCATCACTATTGTTCCCTGCAGTACCAAAAGAGAGGGCACTCCATCCATTGGAGACTTACCAGAGTATATTTCCCGTTGCCTGAAATACCGTCCCAAGCTTCTTGAGAGCCTGTGCCTCCAGGGTACCACGCAAAAGGGCGAGCTTCTTACATTATTGGCTGAACGTTTTACTAAGCTTGTCAAGGTAACATTGAGTTGGACCTCATTGAAACAGAAAAATCTGGAGGGTCTTGGTGATCTGCCCAACTTATGCTATGTTAGGTTCAGAAACAAGGGATACACAGATGGCAAGCTCACCTTCATTCAGCAAAAATTCAAAAATCTCAAGTACTTTCTTGTCGAGGGCAAAAACATGAGAGGCATCAAATTTCAGAAAGGAGCAGCTCCAAGGCTCGAGAAGATTGTATTGTCCTTCACCAACATAGAGTCTCTTGATGGAGTCGGGGACCTTCCAAGACTGGAAGAGCTCGAGTTGAAGAGAAACAGATTCCTTCTTTCATTATCTGAAGTGGGAGAAACTCTTGAGAAATACATGCTCACCTTCAAGAAGGATGAATTCCAACATCTAAAGTACTTACTTGCTGAGGGTTTCAGCAAGATCTTTGAGACAAACATAACCTTTGAAGATGGAGCAACTCCAAAGCTTGAGAAGATCATCTTGAACTCCTTCGCCAACATAATGTCTCATCCTGGGGTCAGTAGCCTTCCAAAATTTAAGGAGCTTGAGTTGAAGTGCAACAAGCCACTTCTTTCATCATTTGAAAATGCCAATAAAATTTCCAAGGTGACTCTTCACTCTACCTTGCTGAAGAATGCTGATCTACAAATTCTTGCAAAAATACCAAGCATATGCTGCCTAGTGCTCCTGAGCGATTCTTATGATGAAAGCCAACTTACCTTCAACAAAGGAGAGTTTCTCATGCTCAACCTTCTTATTGTCAAGTGCCCTACCATCACCGACATCAGCTTCACCGAAGGAGCAGCTCCTATGCTTGAGAAGATCATCTGGTCCTTCACCAAGTTGAATTCTCTCTCAGGCATCGACAACCTCTCCAAACTGAAGGAGCTCGAGTTCATTGGTGACCTTGTCCCTGACCAGGTGAGGATAGACATTAATGTACATAGAAAGCATCCTGTTCTTAACCACAAGCCGCCAGAGCACCAAGACCAAGAAAACGGAAGTGAACAAGGAGAAAAGGAAGATGATCCAAGGTTTCCAGCTTGCTCATGGTTGTTTTTGAAGAACAAGTATTGGTCTGATAACTAATGAAACAAAATGTTTCATGCATGTATCCTCCATCCTTCCATCTAATTCGTGATCGCCTGCTCCATGAATTACTTGTATGCTAGAATGTGCTGTCCTTCTGTAAATCTGTAATACTTGTGTCTGTCTGTCTGTCAGTCAGTCTGTCTGTTTATTCATCAATCAATTCCTAGCTACCAGCTGCTAGCTGCATGCATGATCTGTGCCATCTGATTAGTGCACACATGCTAGCTAGCTAGTTACCTGGATAGCTTGAGCATTGCAGCTGTGCCGACCAGATGCAGCTAGCTGCGCTCGTGTATCGAGTAGGATTTGTGTGGGTTTCATCTGAAACCATCTCAAGGTGGGCCTTGAGGTAATCACTAATCAGTGCGTGTGATTTGAGCATATGGGTGTGCCTATGCTCATGGTGGATTGAATTTCTGTATATATGTATGTAATTCATCCCTCTGGAACCATCAGGGTGTGGTTTCATGTAATAAGTGTGGACAACATTTCGCGCTTGTTAATTTGTTAACCAATGTGCGTTTTTAATATGTTTGTGCTCTGATTGTGTTTCGCACAGGGTTTATACATTAAATAATTCCTAGTGCTATCAGCTGCTTCCTGTGTGCACGATCTGTGCCATCTGATCAATGCACACAAGCTAGCTGGTTAGATAACTTGAGCATTGCTGACTGATGCAGCTAGCTGTGCTCGTGTATCGACTTGGATTTGTGTGGGTTTCAACTGAAACCATGTGCAAGCATGTCTGCATAAATATGCAAATGTGCCTTGAGTTGAGTGGGTATGCCTTTGAGCATATGGGTGCGTGCCTGTGCTCATTGTGGATTGGTTTGTAAATCAGTATGTGTGTATGGATTTTATTCATCCCTTGCAAACCATCAGGATGTGGTTTCATGTAATAAATGCGACAACATTTCTCTCATTTTAATTTGTTAACCGATGTGTACTTTTAATATATTCGTGCGCTGATTGTGTGTTGCATAGGGTTTAAGCTATCTGAAAAGGGGGGATTTTTGGGGTAATAGAAACACCAAATTTTGGTGTGATAGAACGTTTTTATGGTTCTTGAGGGATATCAAAGAGTATCATACCTATTAGTCTTAATTTAAGGAATCTTTTGTGTATATCTCCTCAATGACAATAAAAATATCTAACTAAATCGTACTATCAAAGAGGTATATATAGTGCCATCAGTGCATCATATTCTATCTTGTATGAAGCTGTTAAAAATTAATGAAGTAACAGAAACACCAAATTTTGGTGTGATAGAACGTTTTTATGGTTCTTGAGGGATATAAAAGAGTATCATACCTTTTAGTCTTAATTTAAGGAATCTTCTGCATATATCTCCTCAATGACAATAAAAATATCTAATTAAATCGTACTTTCAAAGAGGTATTCATACCGCCATCAATGCATTATATTCCATCTTATATTAAGCTGTCAAAAATTAATGAAGTAGCAGTACGTACCTAGCTCCAGGCCAGCACATCCCAATGGTGGTAAAAAGAAAAAGAAATACTGCCCTTCATAAGGCAATGTCGCAAGCAAGAATGGATCTGCAGACAATCAAAGCAAGAAAAGGATAAATTATAAAGAAGTAAAGGGCTGCATGACAGTGATCCAAAAGAGAGAAGTAATCAAGGAATATCATTACAGAACGAAAAAGAGAGAATATTTCATAATTTCTTTAAGACTAGGGCAAGCATAGAATATTCCATAAATTTCAGCAACAAGCATGGAATTAAGTATGGAACCAGCAACTCAAGGGGTAAGGTGCATATGCAATAGTGCCGGTCTGAAGAGGAATTAATCAAACCATTAGTTGAGTAGTCTCATGCAAGCACCCCCCACAACCCATGACCCCCATGCACTAAGGCCTGAGCTTAGCTTGACTTGTTCTAGCTTAGGTAGGTACTCGATCCAGCCAGCCAGCCAGCTCGTCGCCGGCAGGCAGGGGGAGAGATCCGATGGCTGAGGGTGCGGCGGGCGCCGTGACGACGCTGCTGGGCCTCATCCGCGATGAGGCGCAGTTGCTAGGCCGCGTGAAGAAGGACGTGCAGTTCATCAAGGAGGAGATGGAGAGCATGAGGAGCTTCCTGGCTCACCTGACCGAGACGGAGCCACCCGGTGGCGAGCACGACAAGCAGGTCCGGACTTGGATGAAGTAGGTCCGGGAGCTCGCGCAGGACTGCAGCAACTGCATCGACACCTACCTGCAGCGCGGCGACCCAGCGGTCCGCCACGCCAGCTGGGGCCGCGGCGCTGGCATCCTCCAGCGCTACATCCGCTGGGCTCCTTGGATGGTCGAGAAGTTGCTCGCCCAGCACTACGCGGCCATCCGGCTGCGCGAGCTCAAGGATCGTGCCCACGACGTCGGCCAGCGTCGATTGAGGTACGACGTGGAGGTCCCCGGCAAGCCGTCATCCAAGGCAGCAGGAGGGGCAGCGTCCTGGTCGGTGCAATCCGAAGAAGCTTCTCCGTCAACCACCATAGGTGCACAAGCACCAGACGAGGAAGATGAAGACGAGGAGGAGGAGGAGCAGCAGCAGCAAGACCAAGAACACGACGCGGCAACGTCGACCTCGGCTAGTATCATTACTGTTTCAGCTGATCAGCGCCGTCGAAGAGCTCTGGAGCCTCGCTCTCTGGAGAACTTCTGTTCCGACGAGCTTACCCGCTGGGTAAAGTCGGTTGGCACTATGGGACGATCATCATCTTCATCGCCATCATTACCACCCATCGCCATTGTACCACCACCACCCACACCCAGGCCAGCTCAAGGTGGTTCAACGGAGGTGGTGGTGGCCGCAGGAGCCAATGCACGCGATGCTTTGGCTTCCGTGGCGACCACCCATTTCGACCGCTCCGTGTGGATTAACCTCCCGGCGATGCATCTCCACCGCTCTTGGCACCAAATCAGCACCAAGGCCATCCTCTGCTACATCCTGCGCGAATGCGAATCTCTCAATAAGCAAGGCAAAGATCATGGCCAGGTGGACGACCGGGATGATCAAATGTTGCAAATGGGATGTTTACTATTATTACAGATGGGAAATATTGTATCATATCCATAGGGACTTTTATCGACAGGTTAATCCTAAGATGGAAGAAATCGAGGGTAATATTACTAAGAACAGTGCTGCAGAAGAACAAGAAGAGAAAATTAAAGGAGAAGCTGCGTATGGAAACAAGACTGAAGACGAAATCCCCCAAACCCCTGATGGTAGTATCTCCAAGACCGAGCCAGTGGGCATACTCTTCAGAGCACTGCAGCCTAATGCCGTGTCAAATGTTGCAATAATGGGGACTAACCAACCATTGGATGAACAGAACATATTCCCCGAGATGGCCAATAAGCTTAAGAAGCATATCGAATCAGGCCAAACCGAGTTTTCAATTCATCTCGATCAAGCCAAATATGAATCCATCCTGCGCGAGGTGTTCCCCCTTGCAACCAGCAAACCCCAGAAGGTCCAGGAAGGTACTACTGCTCTCAGTAGTGATAGCAGTAGCCATGTTGCTGCAGCCACCGCCGCTGCCGCTGCAGCGACTACTGCTGCTACATTGGAGAAAGTTCAGATCGAACAAATCATCCACAAGACTAAACAAGACATCCTACAATGCATCCTGCAGGAGCTACAGCAGCAGCAGCTACCAGAAGCTGACAAATCTCTCAAGGAGGAGGGACTAACAAAACCTAAACCTGCAGTTCAGGATGATCATGCTAGTGCTGCCAATGAAGCCAAGGAAAACAAGCCGCTAGCAGCCAAGGATGAAGCAAAGGAAAACAAGGCGCCAGTAGCCAAGGATGAAGCAAAGGAAAACAAGGCACCAGTAGCTTAGGATGAACATGCTGTTGCTGCCAACAAAACCAAGTAAAACATCGGAAAAATCAAGTCCAAGATTAGTAATGAAGCTACTACCGCGACTCCTCAGCCTCCTACTACTATTAGTACAGCTACTACAATGTTGGGCAAGGATCAGATTGAAGAAATCATCCAAAAGGTTAAGCAACAAGTCCTACAAGGTCTACATCACCGGCCTCCTCCCCATCCTCCCAGAGCAGATAGGTCGTTTAAGGGGGAGCCAGGCATACATAAACCAGGTGGGGATGAATATGCCAATGCTATAAAAAATACCAAGCAAAAGATCAAACAACTCACAGGAAAAATTATGGAGCAGATGACAATCCAAATTATATGTGACAAGATCAAAACACTCTTGGGTGGTAAAAAGACCATGATTATCATTGAAGATGATAAAGATTATGCATCCCAGTGGAGGGAGATCACAAATGCTTTGCATCAGCTGTCAAGCTCCGGCAGTGCAATGGTTGTGACCACCCCGAACATTCAGAAGGCCAAAGAAATTTGCTGTCCACAGCAGGAGCCTATAACCAATTCTATTGCTGGCTTGTACTATGATACTTTGCTCAAGCTTACAAGCAAGAGGGTGAATAAAGATGCAAACCAGATTTTCCGTGACATCTTGGACAAGTGTTATCCAAGCGAATTCTGCATGAAGATCTTCGCTCACGCCCTCTACGCCAATCCCAACAGAAGCAAACAAGATCTACGCAAGTTGCTTGATTCCCTGGATTCAAAAAAATCACTAGGCATCAATGCTAAGAAGATGATCAAGTTCTCCTACACTGATCTCCGCAAAGAATACAAGTCATGCTTCCTGTACCTAGCAATCTTCCCTCCTGGTTACCCTGTCAGATGGTCAACCATAGTAGGGCGCTGGGTTGTAGAAGGGCTGATAACTAAGGAAGACTGGCCTAGTGCAGTGCATCATGCTGAACGATGTTTTGATACACTCATTGATATGTGGCTTGTCTATCCAAGTGATATTGGTGGTGCAGGAAAGGTAAAGAGCGGCATTGTAGGCGATCTTGTTCATGAGTTTATTACCAGAATAGCCAAGAAACAACAAATTGGGCTCTAACAAAACATATCCTGCTCCTTAAGCTAAAGCGTCTGCTGGCTGGCTGTATTGATTCAAACAGTTCAAGTAATGCTAAAAACAACATTTCATTCAGGAATGAGGCACCATCATCCTCCAGCGTCCAAATTCCTTACAAGATAAAAAAAATGTCTAGCATGGAGGTACTTTCCAATGTCAAGGCTTCATGGATTAGCAGAGAGTTGAAAGACATTGGGAAGCTATGGCAGCTGAGGAAGCTCGGTGTGGTTATCGACGACAAGGACAGCATACTCAAGAATTTGCTTCCAGCAATCAGCGACCTATGTGAGTGCCTCCGGTCTCTGTCTATCACTATTTTTCCCAGTACAAAAGGAGAGGGCACTCCATCCAATGGAGACTTACCAGAGTATACTTCCCATTGCCTGAAATACCGTCCTAAGCTTCTTGAGAACCTGTGCCTCCAGGGTACCACGCAAAAGGGCCAGCTTCTTACATTATTTGTTGAACGTTTTACTAACCTTGCCAAGGTAACTTTGAGTTGCACCTCAT